ATACACAGCAACGGCCAAATGGATTCGCAAAAATCAAGGGTGGTCGAATCAAGGATACATTAGCGGGAAAGAATCGCTTCGGCAAGAACACGGAAGCACTCGCGCAGATGGCGACTCCTGGCATGCAACCCCAAGATCGGGATTTCATCGCCAACCGGAGGGACTTTATGCGGCGGCAGGATCCGCAAAGTCAAGAAGTGCCGTATCGATCTGCTAAGCGCAAGCTCAAGCATGCGTTGCAGGAGTTTTACCGCGGAGTCGAGCTTCTCAAGGGATATGCTTATTTGAACCGAACAGCTTTCCGGAAGATCAACAAGAAATACGACAAAGCGGTCAACGCCCGCCCACCGCTCCGGTACATGTCTGAAAAGGTCAACAAAGCGTCCTTTGTACAGAGTGAAGTGATTGAGAGTTTGATGGTAGCGGTCGAAGACTTGTATTCCCGTTACTTTGAGCGCGGCAATCGCAAAATCGCCGTCTCCAAACTCCGTCACACAATCAACAAATCTGGCGATTACTCGCCGAATACTTTCCGCTCCGGTCTCTTGTTGATGGGTGGAACTCTGTTTTCCATCAAGGCCTTGGTTGATGCTAGGTCAAATCTCCGCTCGGCGGAGGACGGTGAAAAAGTTCGGACCAGTTATCTCCTCCAGGTAGGTCTTTCGCCCTTTCTTTTATTATGTGACCTTACTGACCAATCGAGCAGATATATGGGGGGTATTTCCTCATCGTGTTTCATTTTTTGCTCTTCTGTTTGGATTGTATGATCTGGACAAAGTCGAAGATCAATCATGCATTTGTTTTCGAGTATGATAGCAGACACACCTTGGAGTGGCGTCAGTTGCTGGAGGTATGTCCTATTTCGTGTTAGCTATGATGGTTCATCCTAACAAGTATAGATCCCTTCCTTCTTCCTTTTCTTGATGGGCTTATTCATGTGGCTCAATTTCTCATGGTACAACCACATGTATATCTACTGGCCTGTCGTCCTTATTGGCTTGACGATCATTATCATTTTCTTGCCGGCCCGTGTTCTTTACCACAGGAGCCGCAAATGGTTTGCTTTTTCCAACGTGAGTTCATATAACATCATATCACTGTCAATTCGCCCATCTGACCGATTTAGTGGCGCCTCTTGCTTGCTGGAATTTACCCCGTCGAGTTTCGTGATTTCTTCCTCGGCGACATGTATTGTTCTCAGACATATGCTATGGGGAACATTGAACTCTTTTTCTGTCTATATGCCTCGTACTGGGACTACCCTCCTAAGTGCAACTCCTCCCACTCTCGACTCTTGGGCTTCTTCCAGTGCCTTCCGTCTGTCTGGCGAGCTTTCCAGTGTATTCGCCGATACCTGGACACGAAGAACGCATTCCCCCATCTTCTGAACTTGGGAAAGTACATATTTGGCGTCCTCTACTATGCCACTCTCAGCATGTACCGCATCGACCTCCAAACGCGGTTCCAAGCCTCTTTCATCACCTTCGCCCTCCTGAACGCCGTCTACACCTCAGTATGGGACCTAATCATGGACTGGAGTTTGGGTAACCCATACGCAAAGAACCCAATGCTCCGTGAAGTCCTCGCCTTCCGTCGCGTATGGGTATACTACGCCGCAATGCTGCTGGACGTGGTCATCCGTTTCAACTGGATCTTCTACGCAGTATTTATCAGAAATATACAGCAGTCTGCCCTGCTCAGCTTCATGGTCGCATTTTCAGAAGTCTGCCGCCGCGGCATCTGGTCCATCTTCCGTGTCGAAAACGAGCACTGCACAAACGTCCTCCTCTTCCGAGCTTCCCGTGATGTCCCTCTCCCCTACGATGTCCCCTCACCAGCTGCACCCCCTCTCGACGGGTCAGCAGAAGACGTCCAACTGCAAGAACAGCAGCACGCCTCAACACCTTTCATGTCACCCGGCGACGTCGAGCACGGCACCCCCTCCATGTCCAGTCTCCGCGCCCGCCACCGCCGCCCCTCGGTTGGTATCAGCCGAGTCGGCACAATAGTGGCCTCAGCCCATGCGCAGGATTTCGAGCGAAGACGTCTGCCGAATTTCATGTCCAGCGCGAGTGTAGGACGGGATATGGCGCATGGTGCGGACGATAGCACGGACGAAGACGACGAGGCGGATCTGAGCACAGATGAGGATTCGGGATCGAGACCGGTTTCAGAGCGCAGGGATACCATGGGTCGGATTGTTGAGTAGGTTTCACAGTGGCAGACTGTGTCCATTTTCCTATCGGTGCCAATGACAAGGGGGGATATTGTCTATCGGCCCCCTCCAGGGGCATGGCCCCGTTTGATGTGATGTGAAATTATAGATATCTCCCATATCTTGCATATACTTCTTATTTTGCTATGCATAAATATTAATAATTGGGTTTCGGGTCCGCTCTTCTCTTCACCACAATCATATTATAAGATACGCCTACGGTTTCCTGGCCCGAGTCTGGTTTCAGGCAATTGTTTCCTCGGAGTGGCATCCCGCCTGGTACGTGCTCCTGCCCCTTCCGTGCACATCGCCGAGCTGTGGAGACATTTACTGATAGGATAATCGGGTCGGTGTCTGGGAAGAAAGTGTTGGGATCAGAGACATGGCCACCTGGTCCTGTTGGTCGCCAGGGCTGCGGAGTAGCCAGGGAGTGGTTGGGTCCTCTTCCTTCCTCTTCTTCTTTCCCCAAGTTAGTGCTATGAAGGTCACCGGGTAGGTGTCCGTGAAGATAGTGCAGGGATCATAGATACGGTCTCCTGATGCTGCTTGTTCGCCAGGGCTGCTGAGTAGCTAGGGGGTAGTTTGTTCCCCTTCCCTCCTCTTCCTCTTCCTCTTTTCCCCAGCCGCTGCAGTGTATACATTCGCATTGCTCTGTCTCTCTTCTCCCAGAACGCCACCATGTAGCATGAGCAAGGTGTGCACGGCTTTCGCGTGAGGGGAACTGCAGTTGACTGCGTGTTGTCCTTAAGCTGAGTTCTGAACTCTGAAGTTCACAGTCTGAGGGGGTTGTTTCTAGAGTGCAGGTGGTTCCGAGCTAGACCCTGCGCAGTGAACCTAAACTTCTCTCATAGGCCAGCCTCGGGGGTGCCTAGGTTCTGCGTGGCGAGGTTTTTGTCTTTGTGGGCGAACATTGAGACTGAATTGGCTTAGCGGTGTATGTCCGAGGGTCTTTGTATTATCGTATACCCCTTGCCTGTACTGCAACAATCACGCCAGCAGCGCTGCCAAAATGCTATCTTGATGAAATAGTAGAGTATTGGAGCGACGGTCGTGATTGGTATATGATAAAATTACACGGATTCAACATCATCCGGATATGCGAGGGGTGAGCTGCCAAAAAGGAATCATGAATTCAGCGGTGCTGCGAAAGAAGAGAGAAGAAGCCGAATCAATCCAGAACAGGCTCTCAGTGTTTCCTATCAGCCTAATCAACTAGCCACGATAATTTTTTTTTTTTTGCCACTGATAACGTCCGATCTGTTGGGGTCAATCTTACGTTGTTTGTCTTAGCCTAGGACATGCACGTTAGGGCTATCCGAGGCATTGTTTCTGGAATGTAACCCCATGGATCGTGCATTTCACGGACTCATTCTAGAACATCAGGAAGATCAGTTTCAGAGAGGAAAATTACGCAGGAACCGGCAAGGGTTGGAGGGCGTGATTAAAAGTCATTGATAAGGGTGGATCATACTACATAACCAAACTGGTATTAGGACCCTATCTACGGAGTACTTCATATCATGATCGACGTTTCAGCTCCAGGGCCACTTCATACGCTAATTTAAGCAGAGGATGATCTCCCCTAGAGTGCCCAGGTGGATAGAGCTCGTAATGCCAAGTTTGCCGGAGTACTCCGTACAGCGTAGAAATTTTCCAACGGGGCGCAGGATGGAGTCGACATGATCCTTCCCTTATACAGCCGCAGCGCGGCTCGCAGTTGAGACATGTGCAGATTCCTAATTTGGTTTTTTTGGTCTTCCGGGCCCCGACGATCACATTATACCAAAGAGGCCAAACTACAAAAGTATACATATGTATACAACATAGGTACAAACGTACTCCATATATCATGTGAGCGGTGACCGGGTACGCTTGCCGGTCTCGGGAGCAGATGCCTCACGGGAATAGAGCCGGCTACCGGATGCTTGACCGACGGAAAGCCTAAGCCCCCTTTTTTTGCCTTCGGTCCTCTTTCATTTCCCCCCTTTCACTCCGTAAATCCCCTCACAATGTGCTAAGTGGTACCACACTGACGTCGGTGCTGGCCTTAGCTTGTTCCTTGTTCTTATCTGGATTTTGTAGATTTGATAATATCAATTCGAGTTTACTTATCTTCAAATGCAAGTTAAACTTTCGATTGTTAGAGAGATAAGAGACCTGATAACATTAATAAGTTAATAAGTTAATAAATGTTTCTTCAGACATGCACCATCAAAGTGATGTTATTTTTTGCGCGGGGATAGCGCAGGGATATGGCAGACAAGCTGTGGGCGTTTTTCCAAGGTTTTGGGGGCGTAACGTAGTTTAGTTAAGGTTACAATTCAGAACTTCTCCGCGTCTCCCCATGGGGTAGTTCGGGGCAATCCAACCTTCACTTTTTTACTCCACATAAAAGTCTCCACGTACTTGTCATCGTGCTTGTCACCGTACTAGCGGACCAGTCATAAGTGCAAGGATATGCAAAATGTGTAAAATGTTCGAAAATAATTCGTCAAATTGCCCGTTTCTAGTGGATCTACGCAGTTTTACATCTGAAACTAGGCTAGCGTAGGATTCCTAGAAAGTGCGCGATTATACCGAGTATCCACAATTCGGGTGTAGACGAGTCATTAACTGATTTCACTGCATTGACTCCAATTGACTAACCCTTATCTGTTTCTCTGGGCGCCCCATCGATCAGGCAGCCGATGGTCTGAGGAGAGAGAGTTATAAGCGGTGCGACAGCCCGCATACTCCGGGGCCCAGTTTTTGTATCCGTACATTTTCCCCTTCCCCGTTCTCCAATATGATGGATGCGAAAAAAGAAAAGGACCTTGAAGGTCTTGCGCCGTCTGAGAGCAATCATGTCTACCCTAGTGCTATTCACAACCACGACGATGTCTTTGGAGAGATCACCGAATCCGGTCCAAACTACCGAAATGTATGTTTTTTCTTTTCTTCTGTTCTTTTTCTTTTGTCATTTATCAATTTTATCAAATTTCTTTTTTTTTTTCTTTTCCTCCCGCAAGATGTCCAATTGGGTCCTAACATCATCTCTAGGTAGGATGGGCAGGAACAGTGATCCTCATGATGAAGAGTCAGATTGGCCTCGGTGTCCTTTCCATCCCAGCTGCGTTTGATACATTAGGCCTGGTTCCAGGTGTCATCTGCCTGCTCATTGTTGCCATCATTACAACATGGTCCGACTACATGGTCGGCGTGTTCAAGCTCAACCATCGTTCAGTCTATGGTATCGACGATGCAGGTTTCTTGATGTTCGGTGCCATCGGTCGTGAGGTTTTCGGCTTTGTATTCTGCCTATGTAAGTCCATACAATTATAGCCGGTATAAACTCGTTTCTAACCTGCTGCTCCAGATTGGATCTTTGTCGCTGGTTCAGGAATGCTCGGTCTTTCAATTGCCTTCAATGCCGTCTCGACTCATGCCACATGCACAGCCGTCTATGTTGCTGTTGCAGCCATCGCAGGAATCGGCTTCGGCAGTATTCGCACTCTCGGAAAAATCAGTTGGCTCGCCTGGGTTGGACTGATTTGCATTCTGCTCGCAAGTAAGATCTCTCCCCTGCTGACCTCGCGCGATATAGCATAGCCCTAACCGATTCGTACTATAGTTTTCATTGTCACTATCGCTGTCGGCGTGCAGGACCGTCCAGCCTTAGCCCCGCAAGAGGGAGCCTGGGTATCTGACTACAAGATCATCGCCAATCCCTCATTTAGTGAGGCCATCAGTGCCGTGGCCTCGATTGTTTTCGCCTACGCCGGTACACCGGCTTTCTTCTCTATCGTATCCGAGATGCGCGACCCCAAGTACTATACTCGCTCGTTGATAATCTGCCAAAGCGGCGTGACGGCTGTCTACATTATCATTGGTGTTGTTGTCTACTACTTCTGCGGTTCTTATGTTGCCTCGCCTGCCCTTGGTTCCGCCGGTGCCACTATGAAGAAGATCAGCTATGGCTTTGCCATTCCCGGCCTTCTGGTCAGTGTCATGCTGTTTGTTCATGTAAGCATTCTCCCTCTCAGATCTCAGAATCTCTGTATCCATGGATTACGGACTAACACAACACGACTAGCTTCCCGCGAAATTCATCTTCGTCCGCGCCCTCAGAGGCTCCCAGCACCTCACCTCCAACAGCATGGTCCACTGGTCCTCCTGGATCGGCTGCACCGCAGGAGTCGGTCTTATTTCCTATATCATTGCAAGCGCCATTCCAGTCTTCGACAGTCTCGTCTCGCTTATTGGTGCTTTACTCGGCACATTCATGTGTTTCCAACCCATGGGCTGCATGTGGCTGTACGATAACTGGAGCAAGGGCAAGGTTGACCGATCCCCGAGGTGGACGGCCATGGTTTGCTGGAGTGTCTTCGTTGTTGTTATTGGTACTTTCATGATGGTCGCTGGTACATACGGCTCCATCGTCAGCATTATCGCAAGCTACAATGCGACCGGTGGTTCGGCTGCTTGGTCCTGCGCGGACAACTCAAATTCTTCATAGATCGATGGGATCTAGAGGTTAATGGTAGTTTCTTTCTGCTATGTTCGATACCTGTGCATTAGAAATGCATATATATATTGGAAGCGTGTTAGCACTGCCATATATTTCAAAGACGTTTCTGTATTAATTGTAAGATCAGTGTTGTGGCTTTTCCTTTGTATACTCTAGGCGTTTATTGCGCGTTGACTCACAAACAAACATGCGGTGCATAGTCATGGAATATATCCCCAGTCACACCCTGGAAAAGCTACTTCCATCCTTGGAATTCGTTGAAAAGACCAAATCTGCAAATTACTTCAGATACCTTCCCAGAGATACGTCGCAGCCCTAAACCGCCAACTGTATGGAAGCGAGTTATTTGCAGCAGATTATCAAGATCCCGGAATCTCCAGCCCATACAGAAATCAACCAGATGATGAATTCTCAGAATCCTATTTTACTTTGCGAGACCTGTGTATATTTGATTCATACACGAGATCGTTGAGCATACCTTCGTCAGCTATTGAATAGTGTTTACTCACAGATAACTTAAAACGAAAGATGTGATCGTCGAACGAGTCAGGGTTTGCGAAGATGGTAGTCCGGACTTTAAGATCTCGATCATCGAGTGGGAAGCTGCCGGCTGGTATCCTCGGTAATGGGAGGTATATAAAGCAATCATTTCCTAGAAGTCAGAGTTTAACTAGTTTAGAGTGAATTTTCTTAGTTATCACATGAAGTTTTTGATGCAAAGTATGCATAGTATTGTGTATCCTTAGGGGAATAGTAGCGCTCTTTCGCGTATCTTTCTAATTTATATTTTGGGAGAGTTATCTGTACTTATGGCTGTTCTTGTTTCGCCATTTTTGTGGTTGATTTCTACACAATGTTTGTAATTCTCAAATATGTACATCATCGTTGCTCATTATATATACACGAATAGTCGGCCGCTTACGCAGCTCTGTCACATATGTCTTTTGGTATTCTTTTTTTAAACAAACCCTCACTCACCCTCATTAGTATCACAGTTAAAAGAGTTGGAAGAATCAGTAGAATTAACCGCAAGATAAAGAACACATTGAAAGACCTGTCAAATGTGGTCTAGAAGCGGCGGACCTGTGAATTACTGTATCCGGTTAGTTTTGCCTTTTTGGGTTTGGCACCCCAGTACGCCGTCACGCTACCCTCTATATAATACTTTTATTGTATAAAGGGACGATAGCAATCTTAGCCTTAATCTACAATCACTTGTCGTCGGTAAAGTTGTCGTTAAGTACCTCTTGTAGAGCGGTATTAAGATCCCTTTCGTATAGGTCCCTCGACAAGCCTGTCACTCGGAAGACGTGCGACTTTCTCGGGCTAGAAATCTTGATTTGTCTGCAGTATGGTGACATAGTGGTATATCAGATGAGCGCGGACTCACGCTGTTTGCGGGTGGATACTCATCTCAGCCTTGCCAACGAGGCTGAATCAGTCAACACGTGCGGGGCAGAAGCGCGCACCTACAATCATCACTCTGTAGATATGTACTGCTGTGTACCAAATGCAACTTGCTCCCAAATCATTTCTTGATAGAGAGGGTACACACACAAAAATACACACACACACACGCACAATTTATTAACGCCCGGCGGCTAAGCCGAAAGGGCAACTATCACTAAGCTTACTATACATGTCCTAATATATGCCGCGCCTCCTTAGAGCCCATACATGGTGGTGCATGGATAGCTACGAACAGGAATACTAACAGGCTAGTCTATTCAACAGTTTGCTTTGCATGGTACGCGACAGAGCCCCATGGGAAAGCAACGCCACGTAGTAAAAAAGGTTCCCCGGCTTAGCTTTCCACCTCAACATCTGGAATTACTACACCACAACCAGTCTCCTCAGTAGACATGACTTACTGTGATTAACTAGGTGGACGTTATCTCGGGGCCATAGGTTCGCCCTAGAATTCCATGGAACCCAATAGTAGGCCATTCGGTGGCAATGCATTTTGTTAAAAATTCTAATTAGAGTAATCTAATAGTGTACGGACTAGTATGCATCAGGGTAAATGAGATTAAGCGGAACCGCGATTCATTGATTAAAAGATAGACATACGATCGAGGGCATGTTGAAATACCCCATGCATGTGCATATACTCGGTATTTACTACACCGAGGTTGCGGGCTGAACCAATTTACCATACAAAACACGAAATAATCTGGGTTCCTGGGTAACCAATCGCTTGCTAGTGGTAAGTCACCACAGCATACGCTGACAATTCTTCAATGCTTCCGGGGATCTATGTTAGGAAATCGATTGGTAAAGTACTCGTAAGAGTCCCTAATCTGGGAGTCTGTAGGTCGTGGCCCTGGTGAGGAAAAATCCATTTCTTTAGTTCCGGTTTCTTCCAGATGCCCAGATCTGCACAACCGCTGTGGAGGGTGCTGCATCGCAAGAGTCACTGCGCTGGTTGGCACAACTGGCGGCGTTCTGGTAAGGGACTTACGAGAGCATTGGTCATGGTAGTATTCCTCCTTGAGTCGGTGGTAAGCATCCCTACTCTGGGAGTAAGTAGGTCGTGGTTCTGGCGAGGAAAAGTATTTTTCTTTACTTCCGGATTCTTCGAGATGCACAGATCTGCACAACCGCTGTGGAGGAGGGTGCAACGCAAACCCCACTGCGCTGGTTGGCACATCTAGCGGCGTTCCGATATTGTTCCCTCGGACTCTCTCAAATTCCAAAACCCTCGGGCTCGGCATCCAGTTAACAGAATTTCCTTCTGTTGGAGCCATATAAGAAACCAAAAGTAGGCAATGCTGGCCGAGGAAATCGCAGCTACGACATTTCCATGGGGTTTTCAGGATTTTGTCATTGAACTGGCCAGGCCCACTAAGCTTGGGGGGGGGGGTGTCTGCACGTGTCTTTCGCGTCCCAGCATGCCTTGCAGAAATCGCTGATAAAGATGTCATCGAGGCCTTTGCATTCCCATACCTGGAGTTGCGACAAGGATGTCCAAACTCGTCTCCAGCCTGGTTGAGCGGCTAGTGGATGTGCGTTCTCAAGAACGACGGGTCGGGATCGTTTAAAATTTTCGGCCTTGACTCCGCCAATGTCTCTCAAGTGTTTAACCTGATTCACTCTGTCACTGTCTCCAATATCAAATTCTTGTGACAGAAAGTCGGCTGCACCACCGATCTTAGGATTTTCGAACGCTGGAGGCGGATCCGCTATCTCTTCAACTCCAATATTCTTCTTCCTGGTCACCTCTCCGGCATGCTCGGTAGGCGGACGCCTTTTGCGCTCGCCACTGCTGGCTGTTCCAGTCATGATGTCGGGCATAATCTGTCCAGAAATGATGCAATCGTCTATTATTGTCGAATTAGATAAAAAACAACCAGTAGAATGGATGAAGTGCATGAGTAACCATCTCCGATAGAATAATTGGGAAGTGGCAGCATTTTAAGTGAAGTGGTATGCGGCTGTGTACTTCGGTGCCCAATGAATTTTGCCTTGCAGCTGGGCGCGAGGCTGACAGCTTGACTACTGACTCGTAACCTTTTATTTCATGGCAAGGACTAACAATTTATCATTCCACAATTCTCCTCGCCATAGGGCCACCTAGTACATTGGACCTTGCAGCAACGATGAACTTGACGGACGATAATGTTTCTGCCGGCATTTCACCTGAAGACCTTCGCAAGAAGCCATGGAAATATATCGGCTACCGTGGCTTTAGCAAATTCATCGCTTCAGATAACGACTTTTTCATTTTCCGGCGTTTCAGTGAATTGACAGCACGCGTTCTCTTAGCGCTGCAAGATGAACTCCAAGAACTTGAATCTCAGTTGCTGATACTGGAAAATCGGCTGTCGCAGGCGTCTGCTCCAGATATCCATAATGGATCGTTCAGGCAGGAAACGCAGCAAATGAGGCTGAGGCTTATTCGCGAAATTGATTCTAGATTGAGAGCTTACAGTCAGATAATTACCACCAGTATGGTTTCTGCTTCTGCTAACATCCCGGCAGATGAGCTTATAATCCAGCATTCAGATCTTCGTTCTAGATCTCGTGTTCCTAAAAAGGACGTGATCAGCATCTCAAACTGGTTCCACAATCATCGGAATGCTATTTTGCGCGAAGAGACCGAATACATTAACGAGCCAAATGATCTCTTTGCGGTCGTACCCAAAGCCAAGACCCCGCTCCGACAACTGCTTGAGCGATCGTCGCATTTTCGCTTGTGGAGGCTCTGGAGAAAGGGCCCAATCTCAGAAATGGAGAACGTACACTACGGTTCGGATCAGCGCATCGACCTATTTGTCGCTTTGATGAGCACTGTTGTGGGGTTAATGATGTTAATCGGGCCATTATGGATTCTGGCATTTGTAACGCAAACGGTAAAGCGACTGGGAATTATCACAGCTTTTCTCGTTATATTTCTTTGCTTTGTGTCATTTACGACGGTTGCTCGGCCTTTTGAAAGTCTCGGAGCCACTGCTGCGTAAGTCAAAACCTTGATCGGACACAAGTCATTAGGCTGCTAACGCCATACCTGTATAGATATGCTGCAGTATTGGTAGTATTCTTGCAAATTGCTCCATAAAAACCGCTGAGTGCGAAATGTGATGCTGGCTTCTTTTACACTTGGAATTTGAAAAAAAAAAAAAAAAAAAAAAAAAACCAAAGGATATAGAAACACGATTTGAGTTCAAAAATTGGCGTTGCTTTGCTACAAGTGAAGTCGAGCCAGATAATACCCTAGTTGCTGTCCTGTAATTCTTTGAGTCGGGTTATATGAAGCTTCGAAGCAGGGGGTCTTGGAGCCATGTCATTTGGATTGATCCTGGATACTGAGTTCTCGAACGAAAATCTGCATGGGAGGGCACTATTTTATAGGCATTATTTCTAGAGTGTGCTAAGCAGCGCAAGATCGTAGAATTGAACCAAATCAGGCCGCAGCTAGTTCGGCTTTTGGGGCGACAATTAGACATCGCGGTGGTTCGTGGTCTTTAGGTGAGAAATTGCAAGGGTTCTTGGGGCCGCAACGGGGCCAGAATGAATATACTTGAATTACAGTGTGTTTAGTTGCTAAATAACCAACTGATCACCCGTATAAATTTGATATGAACTTATAACTAGTATAGTTATCTATAACTTGTTAACTTATAGAGAGTAAGGCTCTCGTATTACAAAACTCTAACAGTACTGTTTTATACTGCCTGGTAACGCACTTTACGTATAAATTCCCGGAGATGGTTGGCATAAATGGTTTTACTAGGGCCTCCATTGAAAACCCCGGGGGGGGGGGGGGTTATGACTTAGGCGCGATATAGGCGGGTTAAATCCGCATCCAATGCGGGTTGGTTGGAAGGGTGGAAGAAGGAGTTGGAGTCGTTGCTGCCGATAATCGATTATCACGTACACGCTCATCGGTGGGGAATTTTACGGCACCTTCTTCTTTCTTGATTAGCTAGATTTAACTGTATATTGATACAAACACATAGGTGGTAGCTATATGTACCACGTTTCCTATCTTAACTACTACTTTTACAATGGCGACTAAAGTTAAGCTCTCAGTGTAAATCTCATAATCCAGATACCATTTCCAAGATACATAGACATTGTTCAAAGGGTTGCCATCACTTCTATTTCAACGTCGGTGCCTCGGGGTAATTCCTTGACAGCCACACAAGTACGGACCTAGAACTGATCTTTAGGAAGGGAGTTGGCAGTAATTTCAGTGAAACATACCGGCTTAACCCCCTGGCTGAACACTTTGGAATAGGCTTTGTTCATCAGGGTGTAATCTGACATGCTAATCAGGAAGATGCTTAATTTGACCTATAGATGTACAGTCAGTTGGTGATAGAACAATGTGTGGAGCAAAAACTATACTTACAGTCTTGTCTATGTGGCTTCCAGCTGTCTCTAGGATGCGGGATATATTCTCAAATATTTGAGTCTGTAAATATTTAGCAGAGGGACTTCAGCCATTTGATTATGGACTGACGGTGCGAGCTTCCACTGTTCCTTCTACAAGACTTCCGGTTACGGGATTGACTCCTGTGACTCCAGAGAGATAGACCATACCACCAACCACAAGACCTTGAGAATAGAGCGCATTTGGCGCAGCCCCACCCACGTTGACGGGGCTCGTTACAAGAGACGAAGAACAAGAAACAGACATGACTTGGAGTTGACTTGGAGTAGAACAGTGGAGCTCAACGGGAGGGATCTGTACGCTGGTAGGACTTAAAAACCATCTTATACACGTGAGCAGATATTGCAAAGCCTAAGAATTGAAGCACTACCCTAGACCCCAAGACTCGGAATGCCAGCCCACAACGCGCCGAGATCCGGCAACTGCGCTCCGGGTCTTGATAGGGGAAAGAATAGTGCCATTTGCCATCGTCATTATCTTCGGGCCCGATGGCGCGTGAATCCGGCTTATCTCAGCTGCGGAATAATCATAAGTATAGATCGGCTTGCGGGTCCCGATCAATTGATAAGCCATATCACGGTTCCAGGGAGGTAAATATGGTACAATGCTTTAAATAATGTAAACAGGATGCCACAGATCACACCTAAAACCAGCTGCAAGAAATAGTCGCCTAATTTTCTTGATCACGCAGTCTGAAACCACATACCCTAGCAAAGTCTACCAACACATCAGCTTAAACCCCCATTTCTGGCCGTGTATCTGTCGACATTTTTGTGTGTTCTTGTTCTTAGTCCTATATACCTATAATCATCTGTAAGAAATATATCATATCCTGTCTATTTATCTATCTAGATTTGTATGAACGGTATCATGGTATCATCTTCAAGATACTAAATCTTTAGAACATGAAGAATTCGCATTTTTTGGCTAGGAATTGGTATCCATTGGCAGATCTTGGCTAGGGAATTTATTTTGTGTGAGTTTTCTCGCTGTGCCAAATTCATCATGAGCATTGCTATCTATACGATTTCCTGATAAATTAACAGAATGTAAAGCCAGTGCCTCACGCATGGTACGTAAGACGTGTTGTCTGTGTTCCTGGCAATACCTCTTTAATCATGTCTTAACCGGACCCTTTGTTCTTTGTAGTCACCCTCATCGGAATCGGAGGGGGATATTTCACAGCACTAATCCTGATACCCTCTCTGACATCTTGGTTCGGATCAACAAGGTCCAACTGGGTAATGCAAGTTAGATGAGCAATCACTCAAGCCATGAAGAAGGTCTGGACAGGTATCACTTACGTCAAAGTTCATCATCAACAAAGGTAAAGTCTTCTTCATTTCTAGCCAGGCAATGTGAACGCCAGTGCATGTCCGCTTGCCAGCGCTGAATGCAAGGAATGAACGATCCATGTACCGCCGCTGCTCTTCGCTCGCTTCAATCCATCGTTCCGGCCTAAAGGCGGTAGCATCATTTCCGTAAACGTCCTTGTTCAGGTGAATGGAATCAATCTGGCACCCGACGATAGTGCCCCCGGGAATGAACACTCCCGCGATAGTGGCACCTGCGGGCGGTACAACACGATCAAGGCCCCAGGATGCGATGGGAAGGAGCCTCATGGACTCCTTCAGCACCGCATCGAGGTATGGCATCCGGTGGACCTCTGCCCATTTGGGTTGATGGGAGAGCTTTCCTGTAGCCAGATTCTCCTCGATCTCTTGTTCTAGCCTGTTTTTTGCGACAGGATGCTTCGAAAGGAAGTACAGAGTATATGCCAAAGTGCCAGCGGTGGTATCGGCTCCTGCGCCGATGGTCGACATGATGATACCCAAGATATCATCTTGGCGAACAAGTTCTGGATACTTGCTCTGGCCCTCGAGAAACTTTGAGCAAAGATCTTTGTATGCTAGCTTGTTGGTAGTTCTCTTCCTGGCTTCTAGCTTCTCCTGCGCAATCATAGCGAGAGGACTGTCACCGACACCTCTGAGGATTGTTGCGAGGCGGCTCTTATTCCACAAATAGTCGATGTTGGGAAGTGCCCCCCAGTGACCCCAGTGGTCAAACCGTGCCATTACGGCTGCTAGAGTTCCGTCAATGTCCTTTCCTTCAGCCAACATCCCAAGCGAGTTACTGAAGGCAATCTGGATCAGCATGTCCATGGCAAAATACTGGAGCCATTCTCCAATGTCAACTTCGGATTTTCCCGCAAGGGCTTTGATAAGCCCTTCGCCAGTTGCTTCGATTGAATCTTCGTAATCGAGCAGTGTGTTCGTCGTGAAAGCGCGTCCGACCGACTTCCGCACGGCAGTGTGCTTAGCCTCATCCATTCCAATTATAGTAGGTAAAGCCCGATTCTTGCTAACTGGGATTGCACCGTAGTAAGAGGGACCCTTGAGCCATGTCGGGTTCGTGCTGTAGACGATGGGTATGGAGGCTGGGTCGCTTATACTGATGTGGTTGGGCCCAATCCGGACGAGCTTGCCGTACTTGTCATGTAGTGCAACAAGCCTTGAGGCATGACCTTGTGAATTTTGGGACCAATAACGCCAGATGTCGGTGAACTTGGCCGCAAATGGCCCGGGGATGCTCGACAATCTGAGGTACAAAGTAGATAGGCGCGCAAGCAAAATAAGGCACCCAGTGACTAGGGCAAATAGAATGGCGGCGGACATGTTTGATTCTGCAATACTATTCATTCGAGTTGAGATTCACACGTCCATAGCAAACTCCCTTCCGTTTTTTAAGCTCTCTGACCTGCATGGGGCATGGATTACTGATCGGAAACGAATACCTGATGGCATCCAGATTCCGCATCCCCTAATCCATAGCCGATTTAGCAATCCCAGCTGATTGAGAGATATTACAATTCGAGGTGTGCCAGATAGGAAGCGCTGAGAGGCCCGGGATGTGGGACCCGATCATGTGACCTTCTATATGGTGGGGGATGCTGCAAATGACCTCAACGCGGATAAAGCACCCCAGTGTCCCAAGGGTCAGTTCGCATGCACCTCAAATATTTGCGGGGAAAGCAACAGCAGGGATAGCGTGACTTCCCTCGCATGCCTCCTGCGGTCTTGGGCGTCTTCGGCAAACCTATACAATATGGACATACAAGCATCCAACTCCGTATCATCAAGGCATCCGCCATTGGATGTGCTCAGGCGATCAGCAAAAGCATGCAATCGATGTCGGAAAAGACGCACCAAATGCATTGCGAATCCCCCGTATCCGTGCATGACATGCAGGGAGGCGGGCCATTCTTGTGTCTATTCCGAGTCGGAGAAACGGGTCATGGTCCCTGAAAGCTATCTCCTGGAACTTCAAGCCCAAGCTAGAAGGGGAGGAACTGCACGAGAAGGAAGATCAGCTAGAGAAGGGAAAGAAAGAAGAGAAGGGGCAGAGGGGCGAGATGGTGACTTCGCTGAGATCTCCCACCAAGCCATTGAGCTCGGATTCACTGGGTCTGACAACTGGGTCATCGGTAACTCTGGACAGTTCCGTAGGTCAATGCTCACAAGCTCCTAGCATGCGGAGCTGACCTTTGTAGATTTTATGGGCAACTCGTCGTCTACCTATATCGCCAACCGGCTCAATCCGACGGCCGACACACTAGATTGGCACAAGTATCCTCACTACCAGGACACCTCCTGGATCAGACACAGTTCCGGTCATGGAATTCCCCCCTTGCCGCCAATTGACATAGCACATCGCTTGTACCGTGCACAGCATGCTTATATCGGCACTATATTCTCCTTCCTAAGTGACTCACAATTTCACCAGCGCCTCGAGCGTGTTTATGAAGGTCTTCCAGACCCAAACAATAGAGACGAATGCCTCGTATATTGCCAGATTCTTCTTGTATTTGCGTTTGGTCAGATGTACTCGATCAACCAGTGGGTGGATAAGGAGGGCCCGCCTGGTTTCTCTTACTTCAAGTACGCATTAGCATTTCTGCCAAATGTGTACGAAGATGGCTCGATACTGTTCATCGAGGTTTTGAGCTATGTTGCATACTTCATGCAGACAATCAACCGGCGGGATGCGGCGTATTTGCTTATTGGCATTGCCCTCAGAATGGCAATCTCGCTTGGGCTGCACCAAGAAATCTCAGACCAGAACATCGACAATGATACGCGGGAGCACCGGCGAAGAGTTTGGTGGTCTACATATAGCATGGAGCGATTGCTCTGTGTTACCTCTGGGCACCCGATATCGATCCAAGACGAGGATATCGACCTGCTCCTTCCAACCCCCAAGGCCCAGGAAGACAACCACATCGCTTCTATCCTCGCTTCCTACACAGAACTTTCTAGGACTCAGGGTATCATAGGCGAAAAAATCTACCGAAAGAAACAAAAGTCTGGCTCCGACCTTTCAGCTTGTGTTCAAAACATCATGAAAAGGCTCTCCGACTGGTTTGAACATTTGCCAGAAGCCATGAAGTCAAATGCCCCTGACCTGGGTGAGAGGCCCAGTCGCGAAATGGTCTCAACATACTTGCACTATTACCATTGCATTAATATGACAGCCCGCCCAATCCTACTATATGCGGTCCAACGAAAGCTAGCATCCAATTCCCAGCAGCCAAATACAGATCGAAGGGAGCAGGATTTGTCGACTGACATTGTCCACGTCATTGACAGAGCCGTATCTGCTGCGAGGTCTAGTGCTTTGATACTCCACAATGCAGCAAGATACAATCTCGTTGGTGAGAAACACATTTCAACAAGATGCCCTTCCGCCAAGCTAACACCTACCAGCGACTTATGGATTCATCGACGGAGAGCAAGCTTTCTCGGCGGCTTTGCTCCTTGTCATGGTCAACATTGCATTCCCATACAAGGAGACAGATGCGTCAGCGATGAATATGGCCCTAGGTGTTCTGCAGGGCATGGCAGAAAGGGGCAATGGTTATATCAAAGCATGTCATTCTCTTCTCTCAAAGATCAGAAGCACCATCAAACCCCTTGATCCGCCTGGACCCGTGAACTTTAACGCACAGGCCGAGATGAGTGGCGAACCACCGAGTGCGGCCGTGAATCAAGCGGCTAATCCGAATTCTTGGCCCCCTAATAACCAGCACGGGTCATTTAGCATGGACTTTGAAGGGGATCCAGCGGTGTGGGCGGAAGTGCTTGAATCCATAGATATCGACATGGACAGACAATGGATCGAGGGGGTCTTGCGAAGAGGAGATCACAATTAAAAGTAGCAAAAGGCAAATCGTCTTTCAAATGAATGAATGCGAGCCACCCACCCCAAGATATTATACCCAATAAAACAAAATACAACTTGATATATCAACAGGACGGTAATAATATCTCATTAACGTATCTCATATGCGAGCTGGCCACCCCATAACACCATAGTAAATGCGATAAATTACAACATAGTATCACAACAATGGTAGGTTACAGGAACTTTCCCTTTAAACCTAATGCTTTTCAGGTGGTATCTAGTGTCTAGGGGAAGTTTAAAATTTTATATTACTTGGTGATTGAGATATATATATTTCTGGCTCCTAGCAGTGTAATTTTCGATACCCTAACAATGTAGGTTTTTAGATTTGTTTAAAATTGATATATAGTGTTGAAAAGCCTTATCAACAGCTATCGACAAACAATGAAATCAAATACAAACATAGTAAGATATAAGTGTAGAATATATCGCATTTACTATGGTGTTTTGGGGTGGCCAGCTCGCATGTGAAATACGCTAACAAACCCTAGAAAATCCCTTGGAATCTGTGACTAAGATATTGAAAAGGGGTAGTCGTACCTTCATACTTGTCTACGAACAAGTCGCCCACTAGGGGTAGGGGTGTTTTGAAAGAGAAAAGCTGTCTGTTTGAGTACGTTACGTGCACAACGTCTTTTTTAGTACAAAATGCTGATTAATCCGACAGCCCAGTGAACCCGTGGACGACTTCATACAGCCAGCAGTTCTCCTACTACAATATTCAACTCTGGCTAACAGCAATATGATCTTCGATGCCATGATAATGCAGCCTATCGGTATCCATGAAACTGATACATAGGGCTGAAAGGCTTCATTCCTAGCCGTCGACAAGCGACAGAATATACTAATCGTGGTTGTTGAAATATCAGGGTGGAATTTAGTACATTTAGTATGATGTTTTGGGGTGGACATCTCGCATAAGATATGCGTTTTGCATGATACGTTGAAGGATGCTGTGACCGAATTCGGGCAGCTTCTACTAGGACCGAAGGTAACGGCCACTCGACCGAGGGATATGTTACTATGTTACTGATAAGAGGGGAAACAATTCATTGCACAGTACAAGAACTGATCGGATATATTCAAGCCTCGCTTTTGCCGTAACCACCACCTCCGGCTGACATGATAACGACTTTGTCGCCTACGTTCATAGGTACGCTGCCCTTCCCGCCCATGTTGACGGTTCTCTCGAGACCAGTATATTTATCCTTGGTCAGCCAGAGATTAAGACCACATTGCCCCGCCTCGCCTCCATCCATGCCATAGGGTCTATGCACCCGCCGCTCGGAGAGGATGGAACACTGCACTGGCGTGAGGAACTCAATCTCTCTAGTCACGCCGTCACCTCCCCTGTTGCGTCCCTCGCCTCCTGTCTTGTCTCGGAGTTCGAACCGACGGAGAATACAAGGATACCTCTTCTCTAGAATCTCTGGATCTGTAATGCGTGTATTGGTCATGTGCACATGGACACCGCTTTCTCCAACCCAGTTTTCACCGGCTCCAGCACCACCTGCAATGGTCTCGTAGTAGCCGAATCCTGGAACAACCTGGCCAGTCTCATCGGTCTTGCCATCAATCCCGAATGTCAGATTGTTGAGACAGCCGTGGGAAGCCGCGCAAGCGTGCAGCGCTTTCAAGACTACGTCAGTGACACGCTGGCTGGTCGTGACGTTGCCTCCAACAACGGCAGCTGCGCCTGTGGGGCTCAGAATACTAGGCTTTGGAATCCTGATATCAACTGGGTTCAAACAGCCCTGGTTCAGGGGTATGTCTGATTTGATCATGCAACGGAGAGCATAGATAATTGCTGAATGGGTAATTGCTTCGGGCGCGTTGATGTTGCCGCGGACCTCGTTTCCCGTGCCAGCAAAATCAAAGACTGCCGACCCATCTTCTTCAATCGTGATCTTCAGTTTGATAGGCGTGCCGTCGTCCATAAAGTCCAGTGCCTCCAAAGGCCGAGCGCCATAGCGATTGTACATATCCTTGAGGAGGGTTCGCACAGCCAACTCGGCTGTCCTCTGGATCTCGAACATGTAACGCTGGACGGTATCCAAGCCATATTCTTCAATCATATTATGGATCAAAGCGATACCGCGTGCATTGGCGGCGATCTGAGCTTTGAGGTCGGAGATATTATCACTTATGTTCCGACTGCCAGAGCACCCTTCGTATTGCGAGGGTATATCAAGGAACAGCTCCCGCATTCGGGCCTCGTTGAAAACCCCATTGGAGACTACTTTCTCGGATTCAATTGCAGTGCCTTCCTGCCAAAGCTCAGTTGAGTTGGGCGGCATTGAACCCGGTAGGATGCCACCAACTAAGGCCATGATGTTAGTAGTCAAAAACTTCAATAATGGGACTCAACGATCCTCAGGGGTAGAATATTCTTACTGTCTGCATGGTGGCCACGAGAAGCAACATAGAATATGATATCATCAGTGCCCTGCTTGAACACTGGGGTAACAACTGTCACATCCGGCAGATGTGTTCCGCCAGACATCGGGTGGTTCGAAACTAGAACATCGCCATCCTTCAATTTTCCTAGCCATCGCTTGTGCTGGTATTGAACGGCGAATTGCATAGAACCAAGATGCACAGGAACATGAGGCGCGTTGGCTACCAGTCCACCGTCGGGAGAGAACAAAGCACAGGAAAAGTCGAGGCGCTCCTTAATGTTGGTTGAAACAGCAGTCTTCTGGAGCGTACGTCCCATCTGCTCGGCAACAGACATGAACCTATGGCCGAAGATTGACAGACGAATAGGGTCGACGTGCGTAAGCGATGAAGCCTGTTGAGGTACAGACTCCGTGATATCGATTAGAACGCAAGTTTGAAGCACGTGCACAATTGCGTTCGGCGACACCACAATGGTTTGGGTCTCATCAATGATAATTGCAGGGCCATGAAGCCTCACATTCGACCCAATCTCACGAAGCAGGTACACTGGGGTCTCAACAAATCCGGTCTCCGAGTCGAAGAAGACCTCAGTGTGATGGGAAGGGCCACCCACCTCTGTGATCTTGGCCTCTTTGAGCTGTTCCGTAGGACTCTTTTCGGAAATCTTGTTTGCTGAAGCAATAGTTCTGACGCGAACGTCATCAACCAGGATTGGTCTCTCAAAAGTAAAGTTAAACTCGCGTTGGTGTCGCTCAATAAATGCTGAGGCAAAGTCACCGTCATCGGGCCTAAGGATCATAAGACTGGTATCAGATCCCTCGTATCTCATGTTGAGAAAGATCTCATATCGTAATTGGTCATCTGAAAAGCCCTGTAATCGCAGTTGCTCCGTAGATCGGTCCACGAGACCTTGCAGCTTAGTGCTGATGAGCTGCTCTGAACAGAAATATTGAGCGGCCATTGGCTCCTGTGCCTCCTGCACAATCTCAGCGAGGGCCAGGCCATAAGCCGACAAGATAGACGAGTACTTGTGCATAATGATGCGCGAGATTCCCAACGAGGCGGCCACATTGCAGGCATGCTGTCCTCCGGCACCTCCGAAGCAGGCAAGGTAATGGGAGGATGTTTCAAAGCCACGGGCCTCCGTCAAATTCCGGATCGGCCTTGTCATAGATTCATCGGCGACCTTGATAAAGCCGAGAGCCACTTGCTCGGGCGTGAGTGGTCTATCACCATTATCTTTGTTGATCTTGTCGGTAAGCTGCTGGAATAGCTTTTTCGTAACTTCACAATCGAGTGGCTGGTCTTCATTTGGTCCAAAAATTTTAGGGAAATATTGCGGAAGAAGCCGTCCAAGGAATAGATTTGCGTCAGTGACCGTCAGAGGTCCACCTTTTCTATAACATGCTGGCCCTGGGTGGGCGGATGCAGACTCTGGTCCGACCATAAATAGTCCGTTTTTCCAGGACAAAACGGAACCACCGCCAGCAGCAACTGTATTGATATCTAGCTGTGGAGCTTGGATACTGACACCAGAAATGCTCGACGTGAAGGTATGGTCGAGATGGCCGTCGAAACGTGAGACATCGGTTGAAGTTCCTCCCATATCGAAGCCAATGACTGGGACTTTTGTTTCCCGGTCCCAACTAGTCGAAGCATATCCAACAACACCAGCAGCCGGCCCGGAGAGAATGGCACGCATACCGCTAAACTTGCGGAAATCGACCAGGCCTCCATCAGATTGCATGAATTCGACTCGACATCCGTGTGATCCCCCAAGACCACCCTCGAAGTTTGCTGAGATGGAGTCGATGTAGGACTTGATGACTGGGGTGAGATAGGCATCGGCAGTAGCCGACATGCCTCGGGGAACAACTTTGATCATAGGCTGTAATTGGGAGGAAAGCGAGCAGGAGAAGCCCAACTGACTAGCAATTTCGCCTATCTTGATCTCATGATCAGGGCAGGCAAACGAATTGACTAGCGCGACTGCCACCGAGCCATAACCTTCATTCTTGAGAGTCTGCAAGTCGGAAATGAGCTGCTCCGTATCAAGCTCCTCGGCCACGTAGTACTTCTCCCCATTGATGCCTTCAAGTACCCTGAAAGGGGCTAGGGCTTCCTGGGATGACCGGGGATGAGACGGGATGATACGCTCGTTGACCTCCACAACATCCTCAAACAGGACATCAGGGCGTCTAGCCGAGAGATCAAAAATGTCGGGACGGGCTTGGTTGCCAATGCGGAGGAGGTCTTTAAAGCCCTTGGTGGTCAACAAAGCAGACTTCATACCCTTTCGTTCCAAGAGGGCGTTGGTGGCAACGGTAGTTCCCATGCGTAAGCATTCGATGTTGTCCAATCGCAGAGGCTTGCCCCTCGGGAGTTTTGTACCCGTCGCAGCTTCGAGAACTCTGCGGATTCCCTCTGTTGGGGCATCGTTGTAGTTTGACGGGTCGACCGAGAGCAGCTTGAGAACAATATCAGGCTTTCCCGGTACAAGGGCGTGCACATCAGTGAATGTGCCACCTCGATCAATGGAGATGGTAATCTTGTGGTCTTCTGTGGATGCCATTGTAGCTATGTAGGTATTGAATAGGTATTGACCGGCGTCTTAAGCTTTCTTTACGCACTGTTCTTCGATATAAAGTGATATAAATACCACCAGTTGTCCGCTGAATTGGCTAATCGGGCCGTAGATAGCCGACACCAAATGTTTCCCCAATTCTCATAGTATCTGGCTTTGTAACCTGAGAGCAAGTCTCCCACGCCTGCGAATACCCGAGAGCGGGAGCGTCGGGACCCACTCCCCGGTGGAGCCCCGAAAGATATGCAAAAAGAAGACGGATCGGCTTCATATCACGACACCACGTAATAGCAGCGTGTTGGCGCTAATTTCAAGATATGGTCTCGGATTACGTCGCTCCGCAAAGCCAGGGATTGCCATCCCGATCGTATCTCTCGTTTAATGTTACCGAAATGAGATATAGACGGGACTAGATTAGATGCCCCAGGTAAACCCCGGATTTACCTTTACTTTGCTAACTTTGTTATCTCAGCTCCAAAGATAACGTTTCCCTTGCTGTCTAGTATAAAATAATAAGATTTAGTAGTCAAATTTCCTCTTGTCATAGGCACCAATACCTCTATTAAATTTCTTTTCACTGAGGTGTACCCAAAGATCCCAAAGATGTGTGAAAAGATGGAGACCAAGCTCACTATGGAGAGCCCCACTGACGTTGCAGCTGGATCCATGATTGTGGAGAACTTGGACTGGGCACCCGAGGAGGAAGCTGCTGTGCGACGGAAGTTCGACTTTACCATCACGCCTTTGGTGACCGTCCTATACATGCTGTGTGCAATTGATAGGTGCGGGTCGATCCTAGTGTCTCAAACCATGGATTAGAATGCTGACCCATCGGTCCCAGAGCTAACGTCGGGTCAGTCCTATGCTGGATCCTTTCCTATGTATGATTTGGTCTGACAAGTACTAGCAATGCTCGCATTGAGGGCATGAACGATGACCTAAACCTCATTGGTTACAGATATAATATTCTTCTCAGCGTCTTCTTTGTCTTCTATCTAGCGTGAGAGCGTTCCTCCGTAGTTGCATCGAGTGATCCTACTAACACCTGTCCAGTGTCGAGATTCCAAGCAATGTCATCCTCAAAAATGTCGGTCCCCGATGGTACTGTACGTTAGAATGCCCCATAAGTTGACGTAGGTCTTTGGAGTGCTCATATCTCTAGTACCCGCCCTCGTTTTCTGTTTTGGTCTCGTCTCTCTCTGCACTGCGTTCGTGCAGTCATATCCTGCTATGATTGTGGTGAGAGCCTTACTCGGTATATTTGAAGGTGGTGCAATGCCAGGTACCGCATTTTTCCTCAGCTGCTTCTACAAGAAATCCGAATTGTTTTTACGCATGAGCATCTTCATTGCCTCAAGCGCACTGGCGAGCTCTTTTGGGGGTATTTTAGCGGCAGGGCTTTCGTAGGTCGCTATCCATTCCACTGCGGCTGCTTTCCTGGCACTAATAGCATGCTAGTCATATCCCTTCATGGGGAACTGATGCCATGGTCATCAGTAGATGGCGCAATATATTCTTTGTTGAAGGATTTGTGGGTCTCACAAAATCTTGACTTCCCCAAAAGTCATAGAAAATATCTCATACTGGTCTAGATCACGCTTCTTGTCGCCATGGTTGCCCCGTTCTTTATGCCTCATGGCCCGGGGACCTATAAATTCCTTACCCGAAGACAACGATACATCGCAGAGGAGAGAATTCGACGTGAGAACATATCTGTAAGAGAATGCAACCAGATCAGTAATATTGCCTATATGCTGACTTTTGACAGGAAGGCGAGGCCAAAGTAACCTGGAAGCATGTTCAACGCGCCATCTTTAACATTCATACGAACGTCTGTGCATGGTGCTTCTTTTGCACTAACAGTGCGGTACAAGGATTTGGTGCCTTCATACCTACCATCCTCCGCGAGTTTGGTTGGACTTCAACAGAGGCTCAGCTTAAGTCAGTGCCGCCGTATGTGGTGGCTTGTTTTGCAACTATTATCCTAGGCTACTTGAGTGACCGTTTGAACAAGAGAGGCATCTTCATGGTAGGGATCCTTCCTTGTTCAATTATCGGTTTTTCGATCCTGAGGTTTTCTGCCAACGTGAACGCCAAGTACGCTGCCGTCTTCTTGAATGCTATTGCATGTTTTGGGGCAAGCAGCGGTTTCCTGAGTTGGGGTATAAACAATGCCGGAAGCCCAGCTGTTGCCGCGGTAGCGGGAGGATATATAGTAATGGTAGGAAGTGCTGGAGGAGTACTCTCAACGTTAGTGTACCCCCATTTTATCTATCCAACGATGTCGGACTGACATACCACCAGCTGGACCTATCTATCAAAGGATTCACCACTGTTCCATACTGGTCATACCATTAACCTGTCGCTGCAATGCTTTTGTTTTTGCTTGGCCTGTTTTGGAATCGCTCACTGCATCTACGATAACAAACTCAGAGCTATGGGACGAAAGGATGATAGGATCAGAGGCCTCTCCGATGAGGAAAAATTGGCACTCGGTCACCGGAACCCTGAGTTCCGCTACATGGAGTAATAAGCCTACACTCACTTTTGCTCAGTTGCCATGCACCCGAGATCTTTTGCCCGTGGTATCCTTCATGGCAACTACATGGACAGCTTTACGCGATATCGTGCCGGTGAATTTTCATTAATATCTACAATGCAAGCCCTCTGGACGGTTTATGGCAAAGTTTAGTCGGATATATAGGCATAGGTACTATAGAGGCGGTTAGATATAAAGACTAGGGTAGAAAAGTTATATTATAGGAAACGACAATATCATGGTCAGCTCGAGGCGTAGGTAACGAGGATAAGAGAATAGGAGATATAATGATACCGAAAAGGCGAGGTATCTTATGGGTACTTAAATAGACTAGGCGAAAAGATAGGGGACTTAGATTAAGATAAAGGGGAGCTATTTTCGGCCTTGTTTTAGTCGCTAGTAGAAACGAGGGGAACAACTATGGAAGGGGCACTATGCGATAAACAACCATCGGAAACTATCAATATGTTTGGACCCCAGGGTGGTGACCACTGATAACAGGCTAATTCTACGAAGAAGCACGAATGGATTCAAACCTTATAGTAAATTCAGACTGTCGCAGCCAAAACGGAAGGGAGAAAGAGGAGAAGAGAGAGAAAGAGATCAAGAGCGAGAGATCAGGTCTGTCATCATGTTTTCCACATATTTTGATCATTCCCAAGCTCCCCTTCTTTCATCTTCTCTTCCACTCTTTCATCTTCCTTCTCTTTCCACTCTTCTCATCTGACAACTTTACCAACAGCCATCATGTCCCCAAACACACCACCAGCCACCCCAGCCGCTCACTGCTAAGCTGCGCCCAGCCACTGGCGCCGCAGCAAGAGAACTAGTAAATATCTCTCCAGAGAAATATGGATATACTAGTTGATAATTAATACAATACAAGCTCACTGGCAGAGCTGCAGAGCCATCACAATGTTAGCGCTCCGCTCACTGTATCATAGGCCCAAGCCAGTGGAGAGTAACTCCCACCTAGCGAGTGGACAGATATAAGGGTTATATATTATCAGGTGTATACCTGTCAACCCCGCAAGAATAGGATACAAATTGACAGTGATATAGGAGGAGAGAGATCAATGGTATTGTATAAACTTATTTACTTTACAAGACTGATTTTTGCTAGAATTAAGAGGTGTATAGTCCTCGAGCAGGGTTTATACCTTTATTCGCCGAGTAAAATTATTTTGAGATATTTAATATACTCAGTTATAGGATATCAAGATAAGCAGGGACTTATATGATTTGTTTATTATATGAAAGGGGGTTGGGAGTGAGTGTTGGGATGATGATAGGCTGTATCGCCTTAGTTGGACATATATCACTAAATCCATTTCATTGTTATGGGGGGAAAAGTCTAGAATAAGAGCAGTATATATACGTAAAAAGACTGTATAATGCGTGTAAAAGAAAGAAAGAAAGAGAGAGAGAGCAAAGAGATATCTACACAAATATGATTACGTGACCTAGTATCTCCTCCAATGTCGTCCTAGGTGGTTTATAGGGTTTGCGATTACTTAGGGCCTTAGGCATTCACTTGCTAACGGTTGAATCACTCGGCTAGTAAGTTTAGTTATAATGGATTACCTAAATAGTTAGTACTAGCTAACGAATAATAACTATGCGATCCTACGGTAATCTCACCAATTATTTATGATCTAAAGTACCCAATTCTGGAACAAGTGTACATACGCTTGTGTAAGGCCTTGGGATAGTAGGTGAATTTATGAAGACAGTATAACATTGGCATACACAGCTGACACCAGGCTATTACTGTTCTTATCTATGATAGCAGAATAGAGTCTACAATGGAGCACTTCATAAAGCAGTAGATTAATTCTGATACTAGCAAAACAGACGGGCGAAGGAATAAGAAGAGGATAGCAAGCAAAGAAGGGAGTTATCTAGTCTGCTCCGGATCAGCTGACCACTACCCGCATCCCCAACAGTAGGTACGTTGACCGAGTTTAGCAAATAATCAAAGAGTAAAGCTTTCTCTGGAAGCAATTCCAGCGGCGAATTTCCAAACATTATTCACCATCGAAGTATTCATCTGAAGAGCTCTCACCTCCAGAAAAGTCTTGCCAGATATACTCATCATCGATTGAGTCGAACTCAAGGGGCTCATCCGAGTCATTTGCAGCCTCTTTCAGCCTCTGATAATGTATTCTCCTGTCCAACTTTCGTCTAAGAGAAGACCCAGCCGGGATGAGTGACTCGGCAGATTGTTGAGCTCGATCGGATTGCGTGGATGGCTCTTGCGGTTGTGTCGATGGCACAATCATGGCCTCCTTCAATACATAAACCAATAAACTGAAGGCTTTTTCTAGATCCGCCTGAGAATCGAGTGTTGAGGTGACAAACTAGATTGCATTAGAACAAGCACCTTCAATCAAGAGACACTTATTGAATAAGCATACCGAGGAGTCATCATCTAGTCTAACAAAGTGAAAGACTCGCGAGTCTGTTGCAACCCCATACAACGGACAATTTTCCTTGTTTGCATTTTTGCGATGGTGATAAATGAAACCTTCGACCAAGTTAGCTTAAAAGCAGTCTAGTATGATAAGTGATATAGCATACTCACCCAAATATCCTAGTACTTCTGGAATTCCCTTTTCGGACGCCCTGAACCTCTGATTTTGGGCCACGATAACATTCGAAGCGGCTTCGTCTTCGTCTCCGTACCACAGGGCGTAAGATGGGTATCCTGATAATTTGACGGCCTCGCCCTTGTATTTAACGGGCCCGAATGACCATCTAGGCTCATGCGTGATCTCTAGCAGTCTTCCATCTTCAGAACGTGATTCCACTGCTATATTGAACGCTAATAGAATGAAGTAATTCATCCTCCAGCGCATATTCGCTTCTACGCTTGTTTCATTCCTCAAAGCACCGTCAGTCATAGCGAGACTTTTGACTAGATAAAGTCAGCGAGGTTCCTGTCCGATTTCCCTTGCTTACCCAATATATCCGGCACGGGAACAATAGGGAAAGAATTCAAACCCTGATCGTTCTTGGCAGGCGAGAGGGACAGTACATGCTCGACTTCAAAGGAATTCAACGACGACAGACGAATGGAAGGGACTTCCTCATCACCATCGTACTCGCGCATCAGTTGATAATATTGGCGAAATGAACACTTGCCCTGGGCCTTGCAGAGTTCATTTATGGCGTAGCTCAGCTCCATTGCTGTTGAAGGAATTTTTTGGAAGTTTCCAATACCACTCTCAAGATACTTTGAGTTGACTAAAAATGAATGACTCAAAGAAGCTAATAAAGAGGCGGCGCTGAACCAGCGGAGCAGCTGACCTCGTGACCTGGGCAGTTGAGACTTATGTCAGAACCTAATGTCACCTGCCCAGGCGGATTTGCCTGTTGACATCAGCCCAATACATCATTCAGATATAGGGTTGAAAAAAAAGCCTACTGCTATTATTTCTTATGTAACTTGAGCGGATCCAGATAGTCTTTTGCGCCACATCCGTATTGCCCAATTGCAGGATCAGCCTTGATCTCTGCCGCATCCCAACAGGCTGACGTGTGGAAACGTTACCTTTTTGGTGAGCGGCCACGGATAAACCTTCCGAGGGACTAAATTTTGCCAGCGGACACCGCTGAGGACCGTGCGCAGAATTTCGTCTGAGCCTCATATCCCCCTCTTTCTTTTTTTCTTAGCAGGCTTACAGAATTGAATCCGTTGTCAAAATCTTCTTTTCCATCCTAATTTCATCAAATATTTGTTGCCCCAGTAACTAAGGATAGAAAACGGGCTGTTTGGCCGAGTTCTTCGAGTCCTGCAGCCTACCGCGGAGCGAAGCGCCGGGTGGATCAGTAGTGAAGGGTGATTTTGACCAATCGCAGATTTGTTCGTCGATCCTTTTGTGGAACCTGGATTCGGCCCGCTCGCCTTCCAGTAGACCATCAATCAATATGGAAGATGCCAAAGAGGTCGTTGCCAAGCATCGCTGGAATGGCTATGAACGATTGAAACGCGCTGTGCGAAAATTCCTCGGGAATAAGATTGACCGCCGTCAGCTGCAAGAAGCGACGGATCAGATTGACGCCTCGGAAACCAAGTTTCCGACGGTTGCTATCACCAAGTTGAGTGTGGAGGACGTTCGACGATCCCTCCAGCTTGAACTAGATTTTGAGGACGGCGAGATGCAAGGCGTGCAGCCGCTCCCCCTTCCTCCCCGCCTCGGTATACAGCCCAAGACATGGATTAGAAGGGAAATGTAGCTAATTGAATATAGTGAGTACCCTTGGCCTAATCAAAGAGGCCATTGGTAACTCGAGAATCAACGAGGCCAGAGCACGCTGGGTTGTTGATGCCGTTATCCATCATGCGTATAAGGCGGCAACCACTGACATCAAAAATGCACAGCCTTTAAGTGTTCAGTGTGAACGGACCTACCAATTCGGCCCAGTGTGGCTGGACCGCAAGAAGGTCATCTTGAGTGGCCGACCAGACTACAGTGTCTGGTACGGAGTGAGTGAGGCTTTGTGCCTCAATGTGTTAATTGTTAAGGCAAAGGGGTCGCCCAAGGCGACAAACCCGATTGCCCAACTGCTCGGGTACATGGGTCCGTATCTCAATATCTACATTAGTTCCTTTTTTTTTTCAAAAACAGCTAATTAGTATAGGCTGTATTCACCGAGCCCGCAAGTCAGAGGGCAAGCGCAACTGTGGGGTGTATGGAATGGCCTCCACCGGCGATACTTGGACTTTCCTGAAAATCAGCAACGACTCCAAGGTAAGTTCAAGCCATATCAGCGAAGACCTGCACTCATATATGTGTTAGTGGGCAGAATACCCGGTTGCGGGCCGTCAAGGCCATCTGGAGAAGCCATTTGGCTTGCTTGTATGGATGTTGAAGAGGGCTGCTGCTCTCTCCCCTTCCCATTCCAAAGAGACCTCCGCTGAAACGGATGATGAGACGGGCCCGTGCCCAATGGATCTTGAATCAGCTGAGTGAGAAAGGGGCAGTGTATCCCCAGTGTACCCCCCCCCCCCCCCCCCCCCGTCGAGCTTAGCTCGAGCTTAGCTTGACCTAGGCTCGACATTAGCTTTACCACCACTGAATTATTTATAGTATCACAATTAACGAACCATTGCCGCTGGAGGCAGCCCGCAAAGTGATTATAGTCCTGTGAGGTCAACGATGTGCTGTTGACTGTGCATCATTAGGGAAGGCGAACCTCTGTAGACTGGTTCCATTTCGAGTATGAAATAATAATTAAAAAAAAGCAAAAACAAAAAAAAACCCCCGAGCGAAGAGAGAAAGCACCAGCAGGACCCTAGGCCCAAAGGCTAACTATATCAATGATAAGTTATATCGACAATCTCAGTTGCGCCACCATCGTGAGGAGCACATTTACACGATCATTTGTAAAGTTGAGACTAATACTCTAGTATAGATCTACTCGGCGCTCTACCTAGTATTAGTTCCTTAATCGCTTAAAAGGACTTAGGCTATAGTAAGGCCCTACGCGGTATTAGCTTAGTTATAATCCGATTATTAATATTAGACTATTCGAGGAGTATTAAGGTAAGTATACCCTAAATCTATCGAATCTAACTATAACTAGTTAGCTAGTATATAAAATAAGATAATAAAGGATAGATCGATAGCGACTACCTATTTAGTACTAGGCCCCACCGAAGTGTATATGTAAGCAACCACGGCTCCATATTTGGCTTATCACACGTGACCCGTCACATCATACAGGGCTCCACCTCCAGGCTTCACTCCTCTCTCTCTTTGTCGGTGATCATCCAACATTCTTCACCAGCGCCGAGAGACTAAAGGTATCTCAACTTACCACTATGGCTGCAAACACCAGATATGAGCCCGCTCCTCAGCGGGACTCCTTAGACGACCCGTCTTACTCCCAAGCCCCTCCCTCCTACCAGGCTACAGCGGCTCCACCAGAGCCAGCGCCTCGCAGCGAGGGCGACAACCTCCCAGATGATTTCAAGGTATGCATGCACCATGCCATTTGGAGGACTTGTACCAAGCTAGAAGGATGGAAACTGACAAAATCGCATAGTTCGGGGGTACCGTGGCTGAAGGAACGATTGACATCCGTATGCAATTTGTTCGCAAAGTCTACTCTATTCTGTAAGTTCAACCCGATTCACAAACTCGGACCCAAGCGCATGGGAGTCTAACACTTCTCACCCAGAACGGCCCAACTCCTCCTTACAACGATCCTCAGCTCAATCTCCTTCTTCAACGACTCCTACCGCGTCTGGATCCAGTCCAACTTCTGGTTGATGATAATATCCGTCTTCGGCGCACTGGGATTCATGCTCGCAACATTCTGGAAGCGAAAGTCCTACCCAGCAAACCTCCTCTTCCTATCGGGTTTCACAATCCTCGAAGCGTACTCAATCAGTGTGGCAACATCTTTCTACGATGCGAGGGTAGTGGTTCAAGCGCTCGCACTGACACTTGGAATCTTCGTCGCTTTGACCCTCTTCGCATGCCAGACCAAGTATGACTTCACCGACTGGATGCCGTACTTGTTCGGCGCGTTGTGGTTCATGATCCTGTTCGGGTTCGTGGCTATGTTCATCCCGTTCAACAGCACCATTGAGATCATCTATGGTGTGCTTGGGGCGCTTATCTTCTCGGGTTATATTCTCGTCGACACGCAGCTGGTTATGCGGCACTATCATGTTGAGGAGGAGATCGCTGCTTCGATCTCGCTTTATCTCGATGTGCTTAACTTGTTCATGTCCATTCTGCGGATTCTGAACGGTGCTAACAACAATAATTAATTGCGCTTTGGAATATCTACGAGGCGAGAAGGGATATGTGCAATTCCTGCCTTAATTGAGTGCCTTTAGCGGGTTCTGATCAAGATGGCAATTGCCAGATGAATAAGCTTGCATTTTGGTGCTTCTCAGAACGGCTTGAAGATGAGGATGTTCGTGCTTTACATCGGGGTTTGCTTGAATCACTTTCTCTCGTACACTTCTCTTCATTCATATCTTGAATTTTTACAAGTCTGTTCATTGTAAGTCTGCTTGGATTCCTATCGTCTCTTTTATTTTCTTACCGAAGCAAAGCAACTAGCCATAATGTACCCGCATAACAATTAGGAGTCAACCAATATAAATTAAGCAACCAAGTCAAATAGGTACAGTTCTCCAAACGCCCAGCACGGAAAACCCATCAAATGAAATCTAGACTATGCGAAGAGCAATACCCTATAGGGCAGGCAGAGCAGCGAGCATCTAAACCAACGTGCAAAGAAACAATACTATGCAAAAATGAGCCTGGTGATCAGGGGGGGAAAAGCCCAAGGAGCGAGGTTCCTTGGACTGTATATGGCAGGGTCAAAGATCATGACAAGACCAAGCCCAGCCAACAATTAGGGGGGGATAGACACAAGAAGTTTCATGCCGAAAGAAACGGGCATATTAATGCGAGATCTTAAAAAAGGTGTTCGTAACCAGACACACAATCATAACAAGGAAGCCGTAGAGCGCCAACGCCAGGCTGAGTCGGCGAAGCAGTGCCTTGCGCCAGTGGCGGGTGCCACGGAGCAAAAGGCCACTCTCGGTCAATGAGCGAGCGAGGGAACCCTCGCCGTCATCGCCCTCGTCATCTTCCGAGAGATCGTCCTCCGCCTCATCGTCCTCTTTCATTAAGCCCCGGTGGGTAGGCGAGTTGGGCGAAGAGATCTTATAGTAGAACAAGCCCGGGAGAATGAAGCTGATGCTTGTGCTACCAGTGCTCCCGACATATGCCAGCACGGATTCAAGGGAGGATACAGTCATGGCGACTAGGTAGCTCAGGATCAAGATTGTGGTTGTGATAATAGAGAAGCGAAGATCGCTCATCGGCTCTGGCGTCCGGTTTCCCCGCGGACCTAGTAGTGGGTGCCGGTTGGGGGAGCGCTCTGCGCCAGTGACTTGTGGTCTGGGGCGCCATTTAAGGACAGCGTCGACTGAGGCTCGACATGGGTGGCATTGTAGTGGATAAGAGAAGACTACTAGCATGACGATTGCGGCGCGGCCGATCGTTGCGTACACGCCAGGTGGGTACATGCCGACGATATTGCCGCCTACGCTGTTGCCAAAGGATAAGTATCCGGTGATGGCAACGAGGATATAGGTTGCAGCTGCACTACCGGCGCTCGCGAAAACAACGGCAGTTGTGCGGAAATGGCTGTTATTGCCGATTTCGTTAAGGATGGAGAACATCTGGAAAGGTTGTTAGAAAAGAAACTCCATGTCACAACGTCACAATGTCAAAACTTGGAAACGTACGTTTTGATGGCAAGTAAATGCAAAGACAATAACCGGCAGACTGCTGAGAGTTGGAACCGCGCCCTCCCAATGGCCCACGCGAATCGGGCCTCGACCCTCCATTGTGTCTCCTTGGACAAACTTATACACAACCAAGACAACCAAATAGGCCATGGATACCAAGGCCGCAATACTGGTATATTTCAAAGAGTCTAAACGGCGCAGGTAGGAAATAGGAATCACGATCAACCTAAGTCAAATGGTCAGCACTTCCACTCGATTCGGCACAATGTACATGGCGACGCACATAAAAGCTGTAACCCAAAAGTGACGGTCCACCAGGAAATCGTATCCCGGCTCGCTGCCGACAAAGCCCTGTACCACCCCCGGCATGAGATCTCCTATGATAATAAGATAGCTCACGCCGACTCCGAAACATTTGATCGCAATCGCACAATCAAAGACCACGGCCGCATTAGGGTATGTCAACTGCGATAGCGCAAAGAATGAGGCGCTTCCACGGTCCAGATATTGTGCGCATAGTGATTGCAGATAGAGGCCGAATCCTGCGGTGGTTGCAGACCACAGAATCACGCAGACGCCGAGGACGATTCCCATACGGGAGATGGCTAGGGGCATCGCAAGCACACCGGCACCGATGACTGCGGCGAGAGATTGTATCAGAATCCGGAGCACTCTATGTATTGTGCGATTCCTTGCACTTACTGGTGTTGACCAGGTTGATCACACTGCTGGCCCAACTGGCCGCACCCACCACATCTCCAGGTCTTCCGCGGGCTGCACGCCTAATGGAGTCCAAATTAGCCCCTGTTGACAAGAAGACTTTGTGTTCTAGCCTACCTCCGCATCGAATTCGGGTGTCCCCCAGATGAACCAACCCCAAGCGCTGCCTCCTCCATCTTGATATTTGTTATCTGTTGCGGAAATGGTGTTATCGGGCAAAGATAGGCGCGCAAAACATAATTAACGGCCGCTACCAGCGGGGCCGAGATCAAATGACTAAAAGAGAGAGATAGAGTAGATTTAAAAAGAAAGGCCCTGGAAATTGGAAAAGGTCGAGGAATAAAGGAGGGAAAGATCTGGTCAGTTGAAAGCTTCCTAGCCTTCCAAGACTAATCGGGATGACACATGACCGGGGCTTCTTCGGGACGGCAAATCGAACGCCCAAAACGGCTACACTCGACGCCAGTTTAAGCGTTGATTTTACCGTGTTATTAGTCATCTTTTTTTATTATCACGTGATCGATATCGAACATTCTTCATACCATGCAAAAGTGTAACTATATTACAGTTAGTCATTAATATACTAGTGGTTGACTGACGGCAACCGATGGAGTTCGTTAAGGCTCTGCCACGGGTAAATTATCGACCCTGTCCAGTCACTGGGGACCAAGTTTGGTTAGTGGAGAGCGACCGACATACACTGCCGGCTTGGGCGTTTACGAGAGCTCTCTGCAAGACACGGTCGGCCTGGTAGTTAGAAGTCATTTCAAACTATTTCAGCGTGCTTCTGATCAGCTCTGTGCTGATAGCCTGGCTTTTTGAAGATTCTCAAGAACGACACTCTTTCCTAACGTCCACATATTGGTGATCATCCGAGATCACACAAGAGAGATTCAAAGTTGCTCTAAAATTCCCAGTCCCTATTTGCGGACGAGCTTTCGAGTAATGAGCAAAGCCTTTTCTCCCTTTTCTAGAGGCCTAGGTTGTATCATCGTCCGCTAAGGTACATTCCGGCGTCTTTGAATCTTCTGGGGTCATTACCGCGGTGGCGGCCGACGTGGCTTCAGAAATAGTACCGGAAGGCTGCAGCTACCGCCGACCACATTCGTCGAGATTTTCGTGAGTATTGAAACGGGTAATATCGTCGAACATAAATATGGTTCTGGTCTGGGAATTTCCTTAAATAAATGAATTTAGCAAACAGCCATCTAAATTAAGAAAGCGGAAGGTATTACGTTGAGGATTCTGTGGGCTATATTTCCACCTTTTCTTTCTGTTGGAGCCATGTTGATTCAAACTCACCCATCTCTTCTGACCTATTGGAGAATCAACTTTGAAATTTCGGATGCTTTCTAGGAATCGAGAATTTCTGTACTGGTCATTAAACCCATAGAAAATTAGACGCGGTAGGGTATGAAAAGGCAGGGAGAGGCTGTCGGTATATTTCATGAGGATGAGCAGCACTCGACTTTTTAAATATGTCCGATAGAAATGAGACACCTACCATGTTGTCTATATTTTAGTAGATATCATCCAGTTGAAAAGGGGCCTCGGTTTAGTGCGTATTGAATATGGATCTTTGATACATCTGCCATGACTCTATTCGTGGACTTTCAACTTTTCTAAAGGGCACACTGTCTTCGAGTTCTCAGGAGCCTTGACCAATATTTAGACAGATGTACAGATTGATCAAATGCCAAGCTCCTCGGAGCAAGTAATCTATCAGGTCCTGCTGATGTGTCGTTGACCGCTGCTAGATGTTCTGCCGCGTTTCCGGCAAGAAGACGACTGACTACCTTGTCTGATGATCTATTTTGTGACTGGTCAATTGTCATTTGCAGCTTAATCTGTTTGATAATGTAGCTTTGTGTCCTCACAGCCTACACAATTTTATCTTCATCTTTCATCTTCGGGTGCAAACTCGATTTTGTCCACTTGACGTACTTTTTGTGTATATCTAATCAATCAATGGAAGTGTATCCTAAACGAATGGTCGGCCGTTGGTGAAATTGAGGGTCCAGTCTAGCAGTTATCATTGAAATGAATCTATCGAAATGAATTGATTCAGAGGAGCTGAAGACACTATTCATTCATGTGACCCACATTCATAACCAGGGTAGCTAGCAAGGTGGCTTACGGAACTGAGATGACCCAGAGAAAAGTAGAATGAGACAAATTGAGAAAGTTTGCTTCGTCGGTCTTTACTGTCAGTTTCTAACGATGGCTACACCTGTTGTGGACAAACGACTTCCGAAATCCGATTCTTTCAACGGAACTTTGCCATTGATTACTGTCAGATGAAAGATTGATGTACTGGCTAGTACGCAACATGTCCAATAGAATAAGTTTATTGATTGAAAGTGTTAAGCTCGGTTCAGCAATTTCAGGGGTATCTATAATCGAACCATGCCACGCTGTGACATCATACTAGCAGGAAATTGGGTTAACCACAAATATGCCCTATCCCGAAGGGTCCTAGTAGTGTTTGACCACTCCCTCGGTTCATCACTTTGAATTACAATAGTAGGATACATTAAATGACGCAAGTTCCATCAATTTCATTACATTGTGTTCTTAATCTATCTGACAACATGATCTTCTACTCTGTCGTCTTCGTGAATGAATCCTTCAAGAAGGATTTTTTCAGGATGAGCGAGGCCAACTGAGAAATGGGTGCTGGACTGAGAATATCGAAAATTGACAATTGACTCTCAAACTCTTTCAATACCCAATTGCGGACCTCAGTAGCCTTTAATGAATCAACTAAAAAGGAGGATTTAGCAAGCCAAACAAATTGGAAATCAAAGGAAAACCAACTTACTTCCGTAAGCAGTAATGGGCTTTTCTGTGTCGACATTTTCAGCTTTAGTAGAGATCGCGCTAGCAAGCTTAGTTCTAAGCGCATTCTCAATTACTCCTCTTGCATCCTCCGTCGAGACGGCTACACGGATCAACCCTGCGTAATCTGGTTTATCGACATTCATTGTGGGGGAGGCAACTCGCCGATCAACACGATGTTCAAATTTAGGGTCAAGTTGCCAGTGGCTGGGTGCAGAATTACCCAGAGCTTCTTGCCGAAGACGGTCCGAAATTCCCACAACGACCTGGGACGGGAGTGCGGCGCCGTTCAGACTTCGACCGCGGATAGCAGCTGCCAGAGCTGCCTGGACTTCGAGTATACTGACCACTACGGGTGCAAGGTGTGTGAACTTTTCGAGGAAGCCTTTAACGTTCGAGGTTCCTTGAACGTTATTTACCGTTTCGGAATCAGTCACGAGGCCGAGATTAAGACTGATAGCTGGAAGACCCAGCCCACGTCTATGAGCCGCGAGGGCATCCTCGAACGTGTTCCCGGCGCTGTAGTTTGCTTGCCCACTGTTCCCAATGACCCCGGATATGGAAGACAGAAGCAAGAAAAAGTCGAGGTTCTGGCCTAATATTTGATGTAGATTCCAGGAACCACGGATTTTAGGCGCTGATGCAGTTTCCCATTTTTCCGCTGTCATGGTCCCGAAGGCAGAGTCTGCGAGCACCATGGCGCCCTGAATGATTCCACGGACATTCCAGCCGTTCTGGGTGATTCGCGATCTCAAACGCTCCACTTCCTGAGCTGATGTAATGTCACAACCTATCACATCGCATCGACACCCTTTTTCGATGAGAGAATCGAGGGCAGATGCAGACACTGATGAGGGAATCCCGGATCGTGAAAGAAACACAAGATGATGAGCACCATGATCATTGACAAGCCAGCTGGCTATCTTAAGACCCAATGTTCCAAGACCACCGGAGAGAATATAGGTCCCGCCTGCGGCCAACTGGGCAGGGATTGGCTTCGAAAATTGGACTGGGATCAGACACGAGCGCTGAAAGGATATAATATGACGATAGTTGTGTGAGGGATAGGGCGGAGATTTCAAGACCAATTCTATGTTAGACACGGGCTGCACGATCCTTTCGGGTAGATCGGGCGGGAGTAAAATGGTACCATTGGCAAGAAGTTGTAATACGACGATCTGAGCCTTTCGGAATCTAGGTCCGTGAAGCTTTGATGTGTCAATACAACCTACAGCTATGTCTGATCGTGGTGAGAGGCTTCGAAGGGCCTTCTCTTGACCATAGACAGCATCCACAGCAACAAATTCGCCACGTGGGGACATGCTTGTCAGGATGTGGGGGACGATGGACATTCTATCCAAAGACGAGAAAACTAGATCAATGCCCCCGTGCGTATTATTTTTAAAAACCATCTTCGAAATGGCGCGTGACATTGTGGTAAGGATTCTGCATCCTGCGAACCATGAAGACTTCTTCTTGGTAGCCTCACCAGGTGGAACAATGACAGATATGTCTAGTTGAAGATACTGCGCCATTTTGACCAGCATATAGCGCAAGGGAAGATCTTGGACATCAATGAGTATGCTCCGTACTGGCCTGTCCCCATGGAGTAAATTACATCCAACGGGCCAGCACTCGCCAAGGACACGTGTAGTGTCAGAAAGCGATTTTTCGTTTCCATCAGCAGGTTGTGACTGTGTACGCACTGAATCCAAAAGTAACAAATAGGATATGGCTAATGGTCCAATCCAGTGTGCTGCTTGTAATGAAGAAATTTTTGACGGAATTTTGAGAAACTCTGAGGCGTTTCTTATGATACGTGTTCGCATATCCGTGGACTCGAAGAGGACCAGGTCACCAGGGTGGATGCCGGCAACATTTTGGCCTACTCTATCAACGATGCCGATTATTTCAGCCAGCATCCACGATTGAAATAGTCTTTTCTCCGATACATGCCCAGTATTTCCGGGAGAATGAATAATCGTCGCGTGCCTCGTGGTAACGGTCACCTGGTCAGCTTTGATCTCCATCGTGCCAGTTGTTGGAACAAGAACCCATTGGACTAGTCCAAGACGGCCAACATTGAGTCGCAGAGCTTTTTGGCTTTCGTCCAATCTCATGGGCAAAGAGGTAGACCGATACTGGTATAATTCCAGCTCCGCGTCAAATGCCTTGTTGTCTACAAGGCGGGGAATGAACAGCTTGCCTCTAGCCTCGCTAAACTCGGTCTCCATAGGACTGGTATCCAGAGTAGAGCACAAAACATTGATGACGATTGAAGCAGCTTCAAATACTGCACCACGGATAGTCTCCTCTGAAAGATCAAGTTGCGGCAGCCTCAACAAAGGGTTCTCGGTACGCAATGTTCGTAGTAGACCAGTGGTTGGGGCATGTTTTACGGCCGTAAAGCCTGGCGTGGGAGGGCCTCCTGTTGTTACCCACAGAATATAACCCGGCGCAGACGCGATAAACTCGCGAAAGCGCATCATATCGCTCTGTAAAAGATTGTAAAAAAGCGACTCACCGCACTCGAGGAGTGAGATCACACGCTGACCGTGGAGCAAAGCACATTTTGTCCATTGCACCACACGTACAGAAAACCCTGCATCTACCAGCAACCTGGTCAGGCATTCACGGAATTCAATCTGAAAACTGGTTTGTCTGCTAATTTCGTGTTCCAATATCGTGATCCCTTCGAATTTCCAGCTATCCGGAGCATCGCCCAAGCAGGTAGGTGTGACTGGTGAGGCAGTGGCCACGCATAGTGACTGGGGGATTGAGTTCCGTACCAGGTGGTATTGCTTGCTTTCAATCAAGGTGTCCAGCCATGTGTTATTCAAAAAATTGAAACTAGAGCCATCACCTCGAAACATTATGATGCTGCCGCCCGGCTTCACAATGCGTAACATGGTCTCCGGTAGCCATTCCGTGTTCGCTGAAAGTCCAGCATCATAAATGACTGCATCATAAATGGCACGTGTTTCCATGTTGAATTTGAAAAAAGAGTCCGGCTTCGTGGAAGTGACTGGGCCGTCCGAGAAATCAAAGACTTGGCCGTTTTCGTTCATTCCGAGCATCGTGCACTGGTCGGGCGAGCCAGAAACATCAAGTGAAGAAAGGCTTTCCGCCCCAATGATCAAGACATTGGCTTGAGAATTCTTGTGCCAGAGGCACTCGAGCCAGGAACTAAGCCACTCCTGGCTGTTCAAATTCTGGGCCCGGAAGTGGGTTACATCCTCTTTCCAGACAATTTCCGCCGAGCGCCTGGGAGGGCCTGGCTTTTCAGATGCGAGAGATGCTTTGTCTACATCTTCCATCTTCATTGACTCGACAACTATTCTGGGCCCGCTCAAGGCCGAATCAGTAAATAATATGTCGGCCAAAATACCCTTGTCCATATGTTGTGCGGAAGATCTTCCCAGGAGTGTGGATCCAGGGCCAGCAGGCATATCGGTCGAAATAAAGAGTCGTCCCACTGATACAGGTACAGTCAAATGTTGTATTTTTTGTTTGGTTTGTGATGCAGCGAAGGCGAGGTGAAATGCGCAGTCCAGGGTCGCTGGGTGGATAAGGTGAGGATATTCAAACTCCTTGGGCATGACAGACTTTGTGTCTGGAATGCTTAGTTTGCCACATGCTATGTTGCAACCTGACAAGGCCCTCAGACTCTGCAGACTTCTAAAGGTAGGGCCATACTTCAGGCCTGCGGAGGCTAGCTGTGAGTAGAATTCTAGGACGTTGATCTTCTCCGTTGCAAGCTCCTGGGACTCTTCTAGCAAGGCTCGAGAGTAAGACCACTCTTGTTTTTGCGCTTCCTCTTCAACTTGGTCCGGCTGGTCACCACAATAAACGGCAGCCACGGACCCATGCACGTGCCGACGAACCGACTGCCCCGTGGGATGGGAATAGACACTGAAGTTAAACGCATCCTTTATGACCGCATGTGGATAGAGTGTCAATGAGATTTCCTCCCCCCGTCCGTATTCAGGCAGAGCCAGACCAGCCTCGAAAGTGACGTCGGTGAATTCCACACCCTGAAGTGTCGAAGACTCCACAGTGAGGGACCTTACAGCTTCCAACGCCATGACCAGGTAGCCGGCTGCAGGGTACAAGCAGGTGTCGGCAACATTGTGGTCTGCAAGCCAGGGGTTCTCCGAAATGCTAATAATATTTCGCCATCTAGGTTCGAATCGGTTCTGTCCATCGACAGGAAGCCCAAGCAGGTCGCTTCGAGGTTGTGAGCGCAGGCGCACGGCGCGGCTGGCCGTTGTCTCATGCCAGAAACTATTTTCGTGATTCCAAACGTACGATGGGAGGTGTGGGAGAAGGTCCAGCGCGACATTTTCCGTGCGGATCGCATTGACGCAGTCAAGCCTCACGGGATGCCCCGTCGCCCATAGAAAGCCTGCCGCTTCTACTGCGGCCTGGCAAGCATGTTGCCCGGCCTTCAGCACAGATCGGTACGGAAGTTGTTGGGTCATGCGGTGGCTGATCGTGGCTAGGATCTGGTTGATCGGGCCTTTCAGCGTACTTGATGGCCCAATTTCAAGAATCGTGCTGTACTCTGTATTCTGTGTACCTTGTTTCCCGGAGGCGGTAATGAGATTCCGTAGCGCACCAGCGAATCGCACGGGCTGCAGCATGTTCTCCAGCCAGTAGTCCTTGCTAAGGCCCTCACTACTGACCATTTCCTCATCCACAGACGAGTACATGGGAATTTGTGGAGCCAGGGTCCTTTGGGGTAAACAAGCAAGCATCTTCTCGAGGTCTGGAGCAATTGCAGCCATGTGTGGTGAGTGATATGCTACACCAGTTCTCAGTATTCGAGAGAATTTGCCGTCTCGAACCAGAGCCTCGTGAACTGCAGTAATTGCTGCCTTTGCACCCGACAACGTCACACTGGATGGACTATTGATACATGCAATGGTAACCGAGCCTGCGTAACCAGCATCTGATAGGTACATCTCTGCTTCGGACTCTGACATACCGGCAGCGAGCATAATGCCTTCGCCAACGCGGAAAGGAACGATTGTAGAGAGAGAGCCTCGGAAATAAGCAATATGAATGGCTTCGCGGGATGATAAGACCCCGGCAGCAAATGCGGCCGCTAAATTATTAGCATCAACAATTTGACAGGTGCGGAAAACTAACCTATTTCGCCAGATGAGTGCCCGAGCACGGCGGCTGGCTCAATGCCCCAGCTAGATAGCAGTTCTACAAGCGCAACCTGGATGGCAGTAGATAACGGCTGGGAATACTGGGGTATTCCAATCAATTCAGTATCTGTGGATGTGAGCAGATCGGATATCCGCCACAACGCACCACAGTCATCCAGTACTTGCTGACTTTGTTTGATACTGTTCCTAAAAACAGAATAAGAAAGAAGCTCCTTGGCCATTCCTGGCCGTTGTGCACCTTGGCCAGTAAAAACGAAGACAACTTTGTTTTTCGGCGATACGCGCTCCACAGGAAGGGTCTGCGGCTTGCCCAAGGCCTCCAAAAGACCTGTCCAGCTGTCTGTGACCACGTAACTACAAAAGTCTAGCTGGCTTCTCCGAGTTCCCAGAATGTGGCTCAAAGTCTGCATACCTATAAGATCTTCGTGTATCGAACGTGGTCTAGAGGCCAAATACGCTGCATACGAAGATGCAACTCGGGTAATACCTATCCGCTCCCGCGCCGAAAGAGCAAAAACATGGTGTTGTTGGAAGCTTCCTTGCAAATGGTAATTACCACTGGGGGGGGACCTTGTTTCAACAGGCTGGAGTCGGTTAGAAGAAAGGCCCAATGGGCACTGGGCCGCCAAATAATCCAAGTAATTCTCAAGGATGGCGTGGGCATTGGCCCCACCAAACCCAAACGAGTTCACGCTCGCTCGCCGAAGTCCTGGGTCTGGCCATCGAATATTCTCAGTTGGAAGTTCCAAATTTGATTGCGACAGATGAAGGTCTGGGTTGACAGTCTCCAGACCAGCTACAGCCGGAATCGTCCCGGCTTCAAGACTCAATATCACCTTGATCACCCCTGCAATTCCAGCCACGCCTTCGGTATGGCCGATGTTTGGCTTGACGCTACCAACGTAGAGTGCCCCTTTAGCCTTCCGTGCAGCGCCAATTGTCTTCGCAATTGCACGAATCTCTATCGGATCCTAAGTCGGTGAATTAGACTCCAATCATCATGAGATATATGTGATACATACTCCTTGGGGGGTACCTGTCCCGTGCGCTTCGAAGTAACTGGTATCAGCCAGTGGCAGTCTAGCATTTTGATAAGTGGAGTAAATGAGCTCCATCTGCGCAGTTTCGCTTGGCATAGTTATGCTGGTTGTTTTTCCACTGTGATTTACACCAGTGCCCCGAACTACAGCGCGGATACAATCGTTGTCTCGGATCGCATCTGGAAGACGCTTTAAAACCACACATGCGACACCCTCACCACGTCCGTATCCATTTGCAGATGCGTCAAATGAATGACTCTTTCCGTCCGGGCTGATCATGTTCATCGAAGAATATTGCGCGACCAGGTTCGGATGGAGAATGAGGTTCGTGCCTATAATTAATGCCTGTTTTGTTAAGTCTATGTTGTTCTCTCTCCTTGGTGAAACGTACTTGGTCACATTCATTAGCTTTAATAGCCTGGCAGGCAAGGTGCAAGCCGTAAAGCCCGGACGAGCAGGCGGTGTCCAACGTCAAACTGGGACCCTTGAGGTCAAAGAACCACGAGATACGGTTCGACAGAATGGCCCTATTTGTGCCAGTTGCAGCATGGTCGCCAAGATACAACATGTCGCCTTCTGCGATTTCCTGGTAGTCTGCTGTCATCACACCGCAATAAACCGCCGTTCTGCTTTTTGAGAGCTTTTGCATTGGCCAACCAGCTTTATAGATCAGCTGCAATCCCGTACTTATCACGGAAAAGTGAAAATACCGTTTTCAAACCCCTCGTAAGATATCTCGAGGGCAAGCCGCTGCATCGGATCCATAGCTGCAGCCTCGCGGGCTGTCATGGAGAAGAATGGTGCGTCAAAACTCGATACATCATCGATAAAAAACCCCGACTTGGTGCAAATCTAGTCAGAATGAATACATATCAAGTTAGCGTTACGCCACGTCGACTACCTTTCTGCACTAGACATACTGCACCAAGTCGCTGCCGTGACGGGTGATACCAAGCATCTGCGTCGAAGCTTCTCTTAGGGATGCGGGAGTGACCAGTCCGTCCATCCTCAATCATCTTCCAAAACTCATCAGGGGACGATGCCCCAGCGAAGCGACACGCCATTCCCACGATAGCAACGGGGTCATCCATAGCTTCTGATGGAAAGTGGCGATTGTATTCGTTGCCCCTTGAGGAGTATGTGGCAAACCGAGGTAAGTATGAATTCGAATAAAAATAGCAAAAAGCGTATCATCTGACAACGCTATAAAAGCCACCATGGAAAAGACATGAAGGGTGCGTCATTACTCTTCATATATCGATTGCAACCCTAGGATCTCCTTCAGGTCTCAGAAAAAAATGTAATTGTGTCGGAGAAGGCCATTTGCAATATACACATTCCGAGTATTCTTATGTGTGTACAGAGGCATACGGTCCATCACTAGACATTCCGATTATCCGATCCTGAAAGTCTAGTGCGGAGAATCTAGAACTAAGTCCAATCGGTAAATCTTTTGGCGGAGATAACCCTTAACACTTTCATCTACGTCCAGTGCATTCCTAGGCCGGCACGAGACTACATACCCAGGGTGAATGGTATGTCGTCCGGATGGTCCCTCCCTACATATTTGCTAGGCTCTCAGTTGATAGTAACAGACAGTAGCTGATGACTACTCTCTAAAGATGTCTAGCCACATTAGTCTCACTGGTCGACCTTGAGAATGTTATTTCTCAAGGGTGCATACTAAAAGAACAAAAAACCACCGGCGTAACCGTACAACAACAAAGGCTTTTCTTTTCTCTTCTTATCCTCATTCTCTACGCATCCTCGAGAAAACATACCAAGTTTTAATATGCAATTACAAAAGTCCGAGTATCTGAGCGACATCTGGAAGGATGGCATCTTTGGTGAGACCCCAGTTGTACTCTGAACCCCCAGGAACTAACCTGTTCTAGCCAACAAGGTCATATTCTGCACTGGTGGGGCTGGCACCATTTGCAGCGCCCAGGTTCGTGCGATGGTTTACCTCGGGGCCAATGCATGTATCATCGGTCGCAATATAGAAAAAACCGAAAGCGCCGCCAAGGAATTTGCGACCATTCGTCCAGATGCCAGCGTGATTGGCATCGGTGCTGTGGATGTTCGCGATTTCGAGGCCCTGAAAGCAGCAGTATACCGCTGTGTTATGGAGCTTGGCAGCATCGATTTTGTCATGTATGATATCCATCTCTGCGATCGCCATTATCTCTACTGATGTGTTCGTATAGTCTCGGAGCAGCAGGTAACTTTGTCGCCTCCATTGAGCAACTTTCCGTGAACGCCTTTAAGTCCGTCATGGACATCAATGTCCTAGGGTCTTATAACACCATAAAGGCCACTCTTCCTTACCTGGTTGAGTCCGCTCAAAAGCACATGCCAGGCCCGGAGACTCGTGAGCCCATGCACTCCCACTATTCATACAAATATGTTGCTTAGCCTCTTACAGTTAGCGGTACTGGTGGCCGTATCATCTTCCTCGGTGCCACTCTTCACTACCGTGGTATGCCACTTCAGTCACATGCCTGCGCTGCTAAAGCTGCCCTCGATTCCCTCTCCCACTGCGTCGCGATCGAATACGGTCCTCGAGGCGTAACCTCAAATATAATTGCACCGGGCCCTGTTGCTGCAACTGAGGTTAGTCAAGTTACTACCCGGTTCCGCATAATTTGTTAATTCATCTCGTAGGGCTTGAAACGTCTTCTTCCTTCGGATGCCGAGGCAAAATACACCAAGTCGCAGCCTCTTGGTCGCCTGGGACACGTTCGCGATGTTGCAGATGCAACAGTCTACCTTTTATCTGAGGCTGGAAGCTATGTCACTGGCCAGACTCTGGTCGGTAAGTCTTTTCCAATGATCGCACAAGCTAAGCGCCAAAGGGCTGTATTAATTAAGTCCTAGTTGATGGTGCCAACTGGCGCACATCTGGTGGCATGAGCACGTATGGTAATATACCTTACCCAGATATCGTCCTATCAGATGGTGAAAATGCCAAGATTGCAGGGAGAAGATCAAAGTAGGATGATTGGGAATTGAGTGGTTTCCCCAAATAGCCTGTGGTGCACCTTTTAGCACTTAGCGAAAAGTATTACTCATGATATCAGTCGCTAAACCTAAATAACAAGTTGGAACGGTTAGTTATCATTCAGAGGAAGATTGGTTATTATTCTTCGGACAAGAAACTTGACGATTTATATACAGCATGCAATCCCGGGATTGATTTCCAATCGTAGCTGGTAATCCCGTGAGGTCAGGTATTGCTTCGGACACAATAACGTATTTCACCACTGAGTGGCCACCTACTACCAAGCGGCCACTCCAAAACACCATAATGAAAGCGATAAATTACAACTTGATATCTTCACAACAGTGGCCTAATATGGCTTTGCCTTTTAGCCCAATACTCTTTACATTATATCTAGCGCCTTTAGGGAGTTTTAGAAATTTTAATAAATTAGTGACTGAGATATATATATTTCTAGACTTTAGCAATGAAATTTTTCATACTGTGATAATATAAGTTTTCGATTTACTCGAAATTAATATATGATACTAAATATGCTTATCGAAAGCTATCGGCTCACAATGAAATAAAATAAAACCGTGGTTGTTAAGATATCAAGTTGTAATTTATTGCATTTACTATATGTTCCGGACTGCGCAACTCGCCCGGGAAATACGTTAAACACATTAAATAGAAGGATGAAAATAATGTTTTTGGTTGTCAAGCGAGATGAGTGCATTATGGGCGACGATGAATACTGCGCTATTACCAGTCGAATCAAGAATATTATTATTTGTGGTAAGCACTTCATAACCTCATTGTTGCGCCTCTTACCGCGCCACCAACCTTGCTGCAGGGGAGTCCACTTATACAAATCTCGCCTCTTTCTCCTAGCTTCACGACTCTCCCGTATCTATCCATCGCCTTCGCCACCATAAGGGGCAAGACTTTTTCGACCGTTCCGAAATTTCTTTCAGACCATTCGCCAAATATGACTCCAAAAGATTTTCAAGACTCGATTCAGTCATCCCGTAAGCACCGAGGAGCCTTGCACCCATCTCCTGGAAAAATCTGCCCACCAGAGACCCTGAGACCGAGGAACCGCCCACAATAGCTGTCACCGAAGTAAGAGGCTTGCGACCTAATTTTTAACGCTGTTCAAGTTCTGCAAAAAAGCACGGTAGGGACCCAATTAGCGCGGCTGCACCTCCATCGAGGATTTTATCAACTATATGACCTGTATCGAAGCTCTCGAAAGGAATCACGATTGAGCAACTGCAGAAGAGAGTCGTTCGAAGACAGGACCGAAGCTATGGTAGAGTCGGAGTGGATAACAGACAATATCGGTAGATTCTGTTTAGCTGACTGCAAGAAGTTAGCCATTGTTGATGAAAGTCTAGATAAAAAAGGTCAGCCTTCTTCCAAATATGGAGGATGCCATCAGAGGCTCGGAGATAGACATACATATGGGTATGCGGCCTTCAGCTCTCCTGACGTGCCTATGAATGTTTGTTTGGCTTGTAAACGCATAGTCCCAGCCTTTAGGGAGCAGGGGTCAATCTTACCTGACATGAATGGTAGGCTCGAGGAGTTTAGTCGGCTGAACTGCTCGCTGCGCTGATTCAAGAAACAGATGTGAATTCTTTCTATCAACAAACTTTTCACATGTCTGTACTTATCTGCAACCTCCCGTAGTATGATATTACCAAAGGTAATGAGATCCTTAAATCCGGAATTGGAACCGAATGTGGTAAGAGATCACAAGACGTCGGCATGCCGCAACAAGCTCTTCGAGCTAACACCTAGAGCCATAAACACTACTTTAGACCCTAGATTCATTATCAGCTCACACTGTGTACAGTACGAAAATATTTGACTTTTATGAACTTTCTCATGTCTAGCTATGTACCTCTTTTAATAGTAGTAACTTAGATTTCCGTAGGCGAAAATGTCGGTTGCAACAACAGCTAATCACCCCATTCTTGCAACACCAAGAGAGCTTTTCAGCTAAAATTCTAGCTCGACCATTGGGACGAATGCCATGAGACAAAGGTGCATTGGGAACTAGTCGGCCCTTTTGAGCAATTTCTGCAAACATACGGACTGCCACGGAATATCTACAGAAATCTTATTGCGATGACAAAATGTCTGCTTATCGACAAGTTTGCCCAGAGTGCTGTTCCAGATTGGAAGGTCTGTAGCACCATCGACAATGGCAGCAGTCTGTGTTCGTAATGAGATGCCAGCTGCGACTGCGTCATTTCTCATGAAGTGTGAATGTAAGTATGATGGAGTGTAGGCTGTCCACAGTGGGTACTCGAATGTATAATTTTACGATAATATTTTAAGCATCAAAAGGATGAACTCAATTGACAACTCACATTTGGTCCAGTTCCTCAAAATAACCGAAGTGCCCCTTGGTAGGGGAAAAGTCTGTTGACGACGTTATTGAATTCGTCATTCCAATCGATGTTTCTTCTGCCGTCTCGATGATATGCAATATTGTAGAAATAGGCTCTACAACCCGAGGGATTGAAAGAATTCTCCTAATTTGGGCTTGTTCGTGACTCTTGGCAATACCAGTAAGGATTAAGATTGGAGTTGCAAGGGATGGAGAACTCAGGGACTTGAAAAAAGACTCTGAGTATTATTTTGTTTCCCAGTTCCGCGAGCTGGTGGGTACAGACTTGACCGATTCAGCACATGCCCACGCAATATTTTTTGGTATCATAAACCCGGATCAAATCGAAATACCTGTGTAACGTGCCAATAGTAGCCCCTGAGACAAAAAGACGATCCCAACAGCGATCTAGATATTTTTTTCAATCAATCACGACAATCGGTTCCGTCAATACTAATCCTTACAAATACCGTGTACTACGGTCCGACAGACTACCTGATGTGCCAATAACATTTTTTTGGTCTAAAAAAAAAAAAAAAAAAAAGAAAATTAAGTGTCCTCCAGTACAGATCCACCTAGTGATCTACTGATACGATGTAACCCCAGCTAGCTCAAGTAAATTATTGTAAAGTGTGTACCAAAAATTTCACTGGAATCTATCTGGAGATGAGCACCATTCATTTCCATTATTGCAATAACAAATAACTCCATTGCTTTCCTCTTATTCCAACACACATCTGTCCCCCTTTTCACAATACACTTCTCAGACTTCCCTCTTGTTGGGGACTTCAGCGAAACCAACTCTTCTCCATGTGGACATACTATAATGATAAATGCGTCCTAGTGACTGGGGGTTCTGGATTTCTAGGTACTGCCATTGTTTATCGCCTTCTCACCAGCTCACCTGCTTGTCATGTTTACTTAATCTGCCGCGGAGGAGCAGAGTAAGTTATTTACTGGTAAAACCTAAGGAGAAGGAAGCAATTCAGCTAACCAGCATACCGTAGGAAGCTTCGACGTAAATGGAGCGAATGGTTACCACTCAAAGCTGTTGAGGAGCTTTGTGATTCATGTCGCCTGACAGTATATGATGGAGATATTCTCCAACCAGATATGAAGCTTTTGCGGACGGAACTAGAGACTCTACGATCCACCATTAACATCATTATCCACGCCGCATCATCCATCAGTCTAGCGAAGCCCTTGCATAGGGTGTCAAAATCAATCATCGGTGCAAGTGAGGCAATTGCAAAACTTTCCTTCACTTGCAACAACCTTGAGCGATTTGTCTATATCTCAACAGCGTACGCAAACGCCCATCTTTTTCCTCGCAGCGAGGGGCCTCTCAATGACGTGGAAATCAAGGAGGAATTTTATAACCTTGAAAAGCAAGGAAATCCCGTAGATGAGTGGAACGAGGTGCAGAAGCACGGGACGAGCGAGGCATACGAGTCTGAGGACTTTCCATGGGCATATGCATATGCAAAGCATCTGACAGAACGGCTGCTGTTTCACAATTTCTGTCAATTTGCCACCAAAGAAAATCTCCTCATTGTGCGCCCCTCAATTATTGGGCCAGCCCAGAGTTTTCCTTTCCCTGGGTATAGTATGCCGATGTCAACTCCGTCCACGATGCTAGCCGCAGCAATAGCGCTGAATCCATCCTGGAGGTGGAAGATCGCGACGCGCATGGCACTACCAGAGATAACGGCCAATGCAGACGAGGTTCCTGTCGATGTCGTTGTCGATCGCCTTCTTAGCCACCTGGCTGCGGGAGGGTATGGTTGTATTCACGCTGTCAGCGGGAAAAGGGCCCGACTGATTATCCAAGAGTGGTGGGCTTCAGCTACGAAGCTTCGTCGCATACCCTGGACAGCGCGGCCACTCTGGTTAGCGGCTGATTGGAAGTCCCAAGAGCAACACCGGGTCAGTCGCTTATATGTCATTTTGGGAGCCTCTTTTGCTTTTTCGGAGGACCGAACGTTAGCACTGAGCCACGACCTTGCCCAGCAAAACAATTTAAACCTACAACTCTTCACGTGTACGGATTTAGATGATTACTTGACGAGCAGAGAAGGGCATGTTAGATATGTCATGGATAAATTTGCGCAGAACAGCAAGTGGGCTTGGCTGATTGTTCAGATCTTTTATCGAAACTTCGGTCACAAGTGACGGGCAAACTGACATCTATGTGTCATTTTGGTTAACTATCTGTGGAGACAAGCAGAAGATTACTGCATCGGTGTCTATATATTTTATTTTTAGCCTATGAATTTTAGTTTCGGCGTAACAATGGATAGCTTTCTTCACCTTCGGCATGCTTCCGAGTAAAACATACCGTTCTATCACTGTTCAGAAACAGCATGGTTACGCAGAAGTGGAATGTGGGGATGTAATGAAGGAAATAAATCTCTAAAGGCCCAAGTGGAATTACACAGGAAGCTTGGCTCTTACAATCCTCCAAACCATTTTTCGTCATCAAAAGGGGTTGAGGACCCTGTTTAAAAAGACAGCATCTAGCCACCACATTCTATTTGGATCAATTGCCAAAATTGACAATGGGTGTTTTTCATCAAAGTCTCCCAGGGATCCTCACAATTGCCCAGTATGGAATATCCTCATATACTATTGCATCCACCGTCCGAGAGTCATATCTACGTTCAGCTATGACTTCGTATCTGATTATACTCTGCTGCATCGAGGTGGCTGCTCAGAGCCATTTCGAGGCGCATCCTGCGCTCAAACTCACCATCGTCTTTTTCACTCTCATAAAAGTTCTTCACTTTGTTAGTATTTTTGGGATCGTTCGCGTGGACATTGATGATGTAAAGAACCCAGCATCCAAACTTTCGCCATCCGATACCTACCACTGCACCTGCACCGCACTCAGACTCGTCACCAGTACCCGGTGTATTCGAACGCGGTGGCAAATCAAAGGGCTCCACCCATCGTCAAACGACTTCATCTCCAATGGCACTAATCAGCGTGTCCGGTTCCTAGTTCGTCAGGTATCTATCATTGCGTGGCAGTATCTGGGGATTGACTTTCTGTACTTTGGCCTGCTGCTTGATATGCAAAACAACAAGTTACATCTGTACCGCCCTGGTGCTGATTTCCTTGGCCCAAGGACGACCTCAGAACAACTGATGGCACGAGCAGTGCTGTTGTGCATTTTCCTCCCACTCTGCCAAATCCTATTAGATGCCCTTTACAGAGCCGTTTCGGTTGTTGCAGTGGCTACCTATTTGACACGGTGGGAGGACTGGCCTCCGATTTTTGGCAGTGTACAGAGCGCATATACTGTCCGGAACTTCTGGAGGCAAGTTATCCTGTACCTACCGTTCCTACCTCAAACCCTAAGCTTGGTATACTGACTAAAGCTTTTCTCTAGTAAATTTTGGCATCAATTGATTCGATGGCCTCTTGTTACAATCTCAAAAGAGCTGCGACGAAAGGTTCCAAAGCTGCCTTTTCTTGATGGTTACGTCGATATGATCATTGTTTTTGCGCTTTCGGGGATTTTGCACTCCATCGGCGTAGCATACAGCGGTACCACGGAAAACCTTTCTGGGATAGCCCTCTATTTTACGTCTTCGACTGTCGCCATCATAATGGAAGATCACGCCCCAGCCCTAAATGTTTCGCAGCAGTGGAAAATTACCTTAGGGTTCATTTGGGTCCTGGCATGGCTGTATGTGACCCTGCCATGGTTCGCGTTTCCAATTCTACGGTTACCAGTAACTAAAAGCTGGATTATACCGTACAGCTGTGTGGAACATTTCGGAAAGTCACACACCGCACTCGTTCTGGGAGTTGGTGGCCTAGTGTTGCATAAGTACATGGGTGCAAGCATCTGAGATTAGGAGACGGACGGGTTAGATATTTAATCAAGGAAGAAGCCATGTGAATATGTCTGTTAAAGAAAGGACTACACACAGCCTTCTAATGCTATGACATCACACTTTGATTTGATATGGAAGAGGGGACGATAGATGAGTAATTCGTGTAATAGGTAGCCAAAAATGAGATGAGTTGGAGATTGAATAGCCCCTGAGTGAAATAGTACCTGATCCGCTTCATATGAACGACTAAGGTAACAACATGGATCTATCCTTCCGAGGAATATCTGAAAATATCAGATCACTGTAGTGCTTGTCGAGAAAGACCCAGGAACGGAGGAAAGTTTATCTCTCGCAACTCTTTTCGAAGTTGGGAATCTTGCTCAAGGTAGTGTTTGCTATGCACCCTGAAAGTCATACACAAGCTTGCCGCAGATATATGTCCCTTCACTACTAGCAACGACGACTCGACGAGAGAAGTAGCGCAAATCACCGATCATTTCAAATCCCCAGACCTACAGCAAAGTGTCAATTCGTCTTGTCCGTCCCACACGTGACAATATAGGTTGCAGACGATGCTTACCTGTTCTGCGGTCCAGCCACACGATCGATTGCGCTCGAAAGTGTGTACCCAAAGACCAATGGTTTCTTTTCCAATATCCTCACTCCGCTTTTCAACTAAAAATCCAGGAGATTTACATGCATTCTCATCAATCTCCCCTCGCAGAAAAGACTTGATCGCGGGACCGCCTCTGGGGGTCCGTAGCTCGAATTCAGGCCGTATACTTCCGTCAGTGTCGGTAAAGCCGTGGATAAAACGACTTTGGTGCTCTACTGAACCAAAAAAGTAGTCTTTGTGGTCATATAGCTCCCAATTTAGTACCCGATTTTCTTTTGTCCCGGCCAGGCCCCCTGTTGCGGTCTGGAGAAAATCGATCTTTGTTAAGGGTTGATCATTCCCAGGGGCTATCGTCGAGTATTCGGAAATCTGGAGGTATATAGTTGCGACTGCAAATGCCTTGCGCAGTAACCAGTGGACATTTTGCTGCAACGGTACCACAACGATTAGCCAATAAGCTAAACCTGCATCAAGTGCTGATATGTGGGAATAGCGCTAAAATACCAATCTTAATATAGGGATCGTATCACTTGATAACTCCTTGTTCTGAAGAGAAAAAAAACCCATGAGTTAGGAAGTGACAGCTCAAAGGTATGAGAGCACCATTACTTACCAAGATCCACTTGCCATTGAGGCAGTCAATGGAAATATCTGGTGGAGTAGCCATATCGCAAATGTTGCTCTAGATGCAGATTGATTTATTCTGGCCAACCTTTCAAAAGACAAAAAGCAGATAATTGATGCTCTGCATTATATTCTATATTCCATATTCCAGATGATTGAATTCCGAGAGAGAGGAATCTATTGGTCGATTGACGGCTCTTATACTCGAAATAACATGTGGATTGGAGTCAGTCTCGCATTCTTTGGCAAATGGGTAATCTATCTTAATCCTAAGAACCAGGTACTAGGAATGTTGGATGAGAAAGATACTCTTTTGGGTCTTGGCTCTTGGTTCCTCAGTTTGAAATAGTAATTAACCTTGCTTCCAGAGGGCGGATTTACAGTGAGAATACATAAAGAAAAGAGGTTCACTGGCTTCGCTTACCGCATGTATCTGCGATCTAGATAACGGGAGTGCCTGTCATTTCTAGTACCAAGCTTTTAACTGTCCTATTTTAGGACAGAGATGTCTCTAACTGGCAATGTGTCAGATATTTATGACATATTCAACTATTCTCTATCGTGAATATTTCATAACATACTGAGACATACATACGGACTCATGTACAGTGGCATTTCATGAGTATTTGCACCCCAATACTTCTACTGTTGACCACCCTGCCTATACCGATGTGCAGCAGGGTTACACGCGAGTGGATTAAAAGTTCTTCCTGCAGAAAATAAGTGGCTTCCGAAGTACTAGGGTGCAAATACTCATGAAACATGACTGTACCCCTTGCAGATCTGAGAAATATGCTACAGATAAACTTTGCTCTGTGAGGGTTCGAACTTTTTCCTCCGTTTTCCCCTTTCATCTCGTTCCGTTTCATTCCTTTCTTGTAAAGAAATTGAACAATGTTAACCTGGAATGGCAGGACATGCCCCCAGACATATCCCTTCTTTTCATGGAAGGTACATTTACCGGGATTAAGACTTGGCTTCTATGGTAAACCTGTCGGTATACTTAGACCTGTTGCATTTGTATTCTATTCTTTTGCAACAAAGCAGAGGTAGCGGCCATTTCACAAGTTCGCAGGCACACTTCCCTCCGCATCATGACTGATATATCAAATGAAGCATGTCTTTCGGGGGGAGTACCTACCGTCTTATCTAGTACGGTAATGTGCATTGATGGGTTTTTTTGTATGCTTTATATTCTATCTTAAATTCACCTCAAGAATGAAAATTTCCCTCTGACTGGTTCAGGTCCAAACAACAATGCCGAGCATCCACCTGAATACTGCCCACCCACTCCTGAATGCCAACTGACACGACTCCAAGAAGCGCACAACATCTGCGACCTACCTCAAGGCAAATACGAGCCGGCAGTCTGCAAAGCAGGCTTCTACTGTCCGTCAGGGGGAGACCGTGAACTCCCATGCCCTAAAGGGTACTTCTGCCCACTAGGCACTGTCAATCCATTTCGTTGTACTAGCCTTTCTGTCTGTTCCCAAGGCAGTTCTCGACAGATTCCAGTCCTACCATTTCTTTGCATCGCACTGCTGGATTTAGTTCTAGTTTCGATATGGATCTCAAAAAGGACAGGCACGAATTGTGGCAAATTTATGAAGCTAGATTCAGTTGGTCGCAAGGGCAGGACACATGACCGCGAACTAGAAAATGGCCATGGCACCAGTGGCATTGACACCAACATGACTCCAAGTTACCGCAGCATACTCCCGCATATCGATACCCAAAATGGCTCCATTGGTGTTGAAATTCGATTTCGAAGCATTTCTATGCGTCTTAGCAACTCCAGGGACAAAATTTTACATCATCTGGATGGAAATATTCGTGCTGGTTCCTTCCTTGGTATTATGGGGCCGTCGGGATCTGGAAAATGTACGTTATAGCTACCTTGAAGAATGGACGGGTCTGACCTGCATCTATGAACCAGCTACGTTGGCAAAGATTATCACTGGGAGAGTCAAGCCATCTACGGGCTCCATTTACGTCAACGATAATATAGCACAGCCGGCTGAGTATGACTCATCCCTGATAATTTAGTCTACAGTCTAGGGAGGGAGCCTTTGCTAACACCTACACAGCTTAAAAACCCTCATAGGGTACGTCCCGCAGGACGACGTTGTCCTTCCTGATTTGACGGTCCGGGAGAACATTATCCACTCAGCTCGTGTACGACTTGGGAATGCCTTGGATAACAATGAGATTCAACAATTTGTCGATTCTCTGGTCGATTCCATAGGACTTTGCAAGGTCCGTGACCGCCTGGTGGGTGTTTCCAATCGAGGCATATCTGGTGGTGAGCGGAAACGTGTCAACATTGCCGTCGAACTGGCAGCAGCACCCAAATTTTTGCTACTCGATGAGCCAACCTCAGGACTTGATTCACGGACCGCACTCTCTTTGATCGAACTTTTAAAGTCTTTGTCCCAGCAGGGCGTTACAATATGCTGTGTTGTTCATCAACCGAGAAGAGAAATATTTTTGGCTCTTGATGACTTGCTTCTTTTAAACAGTGGAAGACAGGTCTACTTTGGACAAGCAAGAGATTCCATTCAGCACTTAGAAGGGCTTGGCCACAATTTTCCTGATGCATGCAATCCTGCTGATATTATCCTAGATGTTATAGATGGCATTGATGGTGGTCCTGTCCAAGCAGATTGCCCTATATTATTTGGAGATGATCAAGCGAGCGAGCAATCCAAGACGCTACTTCACTGTGTCAAGAAGCAAAGAGCGCCCTGGTACTATCAGGTTTACCTTGCATTCATGCGAGGGACCAGACAACAGAGCAGACAGGTTGCTAGCTTTGCTCTTGAAATAGTATCAGGTGCAATTACTGGTCTTCTGATTGGGCTAGCGAACTTTGAGTTTAAAGGACACTTGTTTCAGGGGCTTTACAAGCAGCCGTTTGAAGCACTTTCAAGTCCCGTGTCTTATCGGCTCTTAACAGAGCAGGGCATGCTAAATTGTCTGGCTATTGGTATGGCCTGATTCGTCTCTAACCAGCCCTTTACTAATACTTTCTGATAGGTTGTGCTGCCGGACCAGCTGGGGTCAAGACCTTTGGTGACGAAAGTAAGTACATTATAGTGAAGTTTAGATTATACAAGCCAAATAACTCTGTTCAGAACCTTTATTCCACAGAGAATCGCACTCCGGTCATTCTCAAAGTGCCTACTTGCTCGGGAAAATACTGTCGACCGTTTTTCGAATTTTTCTATCATCATTGCATTATACAGCTTTCTACATGGTACTCACTACCCCCATTACATCATTCAATGTGCAACTAATTCTTAACTTCCTATACTTTTACTGTGAGTTTGATGTAGGCGGAAGCTTTTAGCCTCCACCAAATAACTCGATTGCTTACCTTACATACTAGGTATATACGGGCTTGGCTGCCTTGTTGCCGCTGTTACAGTCCCTCGAGACGGACCCTTGATGACTATGCTTATAAGCCTTGTATTTTCTGCCTTGGTAGGGTGTGGGCCTCGTTTGGCGTCTGTCATGGGATGGAATCTTGAGTGGTTTTGGTATATATGCCCTGGTGTAAGTGTCACGTTCGCTGATTTCTAATATTCTCTATTCTAAAGCCACAATCCAGGTCTGGTACGCAGAAGCCAGCTTCAACGAGTACACTGCTCCAGTAGCGCATATTTATAATACACAGGCCGCAGCAGATCTGACAGGCTATAGTACAGGAAGAACATCCTTTGATTTGTGGTATGTTAACATCATATTTACTTTCCTCGTTTCCATGTTAAATTCGAAACTAGGATGCTCTTGGTGATTGGGTCAATATATCGACTACTAGCAGGTTTTCTATTGTCCTTCTTTGCCCGGAGGAGTGTTATGTGACACATGTAATCACTGATATTTGCTTCAGGTGACCATAGACAGCGTTGCTGGGTTACCTTCCTTTCTTAACTAGACTACTAGCCTACGTCTATTGTTTTGACTACGTTAATGAAATTATGCAGTGGCAGTCATGGATGGCTTCTTTGCATGTGATTCTTAGCTCAATTCTTGGTTTTTCATTTGTTCCCGGACTTCGCAATATGTTATATCGTCCTTTTTTTATCATCAGCACCGGAAATACCCTTTGTGGCTGAGTTGGTCTCGGAAAATGGCCTTCTCTGATACTGCATACGAGGAAGTGTCCGGCGGCTAAATGTGTCAGATAGTAAAATATGGGTACGGGCTAGTATCAAGGATGGCAATTGATGATTGAGATAGAGTAATGAGTATGTATGAATCTATCATTACGGTCCAGGAGGGAGATATTCTTAGGGTATTTGCTGGAGAAATTCGGTATTCTTTTGATTGTAAACCCGCCTACAGAATACGGTTTTACGCTACTATAGTTAAATCGGTCCTATCGGCTAGTTACGACTTATCTAGTTATAGCTATCGCTTTCCCGCTACGCTCGAAACCGCTAACCACTATATAAAAGAAAAGATACCGCCTTTACTCTCTTGGTCTATTATCGTTATATCACGTCTATCAAGCTTCCTCGTCTACTACCTTTGGTTAATAATTTTCGTTTACACTAAAAAGTTTGGGTAATATCTCTAATGGTGTTTCTGCAGGGATTACTGAGCTAAGAATCGTCAATTTATATAATGATTAGTAAACCAACTCGGGGTTACATCTCCTGCCAGCGGTCCTGCCAGGTATATCTCATCAGGCTCCGCAATCTGTTCTGGTAGTTGGAGACTTTAATCTTCACCATCCGGCGTGGGGAGGTGAGGAAGCCGAAGAGCTTTTAGATATGATGGAGGCTGCTGGGCTTGACAACTGGGTGCCACAGGGCGAGGCCACAAGAGAGCTAAACGGCAGCAGGACGATGATCGACCTAGTCCTTGCATCTCGAAGCCTGCATGGACGTATGATCAGCTGTGGGACCAACCCTAAGGGGCATGCTGATTCAGACCACCTACCGATCCAGACGATACTGGATATTGATACTCCTATAGCACCTAAACCGGTGCCTAGGAGGCACAGGAAGCAGATTGACGAGAGGAAGCTTGCTGAATTTGTGAACACGAACCTCCGGGACTGGACACCCTGCCTCGACAGCCATGGCCACATAGATGCCGCTACTGAACATCTACTGGAGATAGTGAAGCGGGGTATTCAAGAGTCAACTCTGTAGGCCAGGCCGTCAGAGTGGGCTCGTGAGGGATGGAGTGAGGAGTGTTCGCAGGCAATCAAGGCCTGCCGGAGAGCTTTTCGTCGGCAGAGAGACTCTATTAGGTCGTCCTAAAAAGAAGTCAGATTCATAAGTAATCATACGTACCAAAATTCTCCGTTTCATTCACATCAAGTAGTCTACGTTCCCATGGCACGTAACCATTTGTCTCACATTTTTCAACGTGAGTGACGGGTTGTCCTGGTATTCCAGAAGCGTCACCCCCAGGACCATTATCCGAGCGTTCTCTAGAGGGTTCTGTGGTCGGTTGCCAAAACGTTTGATGATTTAGTGTCACCATAATGACAAGAAATTTGAGAAATTTGTGGAGGGAGCTGTCGAGCCAGGGACGCGAGAATGACAATTTCCAAAGAAAGATATTATTCCAGCAATTCGTGAAGAGGGATAGCTCTGACTTCATAGCTTTCTGGGCCATTGTGCTTATCGAAGTTTCAACTCAAAGGAAGATATATAATCAAAAAACTGGCCTCTGCTCGAGTCGCAAATGGCTACAGCTGAGATCCCCGACTTTGCTCCACTGCAAGTTGGCGTAGCCAATTGATGGCCGCGCTTGCCTGCACCATGCCAGCAAAAGGAGACGCTCCTAGGAACTCACGTCTGAAGTGGGCGCGTGATCAGCGATATAGTAGTAAGTAGAATTTGATAGGCTATTGACGCATTTCCAGCTTCATCACATGTGTGGAGCACGGTCTTTCGGGTCGTGGAGCGCATGGCAGACTATGGTAATGGATGATAGCCCTGGGGCTGAAATAATCCAGAGCATAGAGCCAGAGATAGCAACCAAATTGCCTCCTCTGACCCTCCGTCAAGGAACGTAAACATCTCCATCATGAGAGAGGGAAAAAAAAGAGAGACCCCCGAGACCATGTTCGTGGGATCTAGCTTCTCCTACGGCAGAGCAGGTCATCCTCGTAAAGCGATAAAGTCGAGTAAGCAAGCGCTGGGCAACAGATACCCTGTACGATTAAGTCATAAATTTGCTAGGGCTCCGAAGAGCGACCGTAGGTAGCAAAGCGCTTATCACCGGAGGAAGTGAAACAAAGAAAGAGGCGTGTCGTGGGCTAGTCGGAGCATCAAAGTTGAGCGATCAGGGTGCTCGGGAAGCACTCCAGGAATACTCAGGGTTGCTTCGTGTTGCTCAGGGAGCAGCTCAGGGCGGCGAGGGGGCTAACTCATCTGGGCTCCGGAAGCCGATCGCTTCCCGAGGCGGCAGTGTTACCCGTCACCTTTATTACCTAAAACCGAAACCACTTTGCATTCCTACAGATTACTACTATTCAACGCGCCCCGAACTATTTGAAATCTTGTCTGGATTGTATATCCAATCATACAGATAAAGTAATAACTAATCATAGCTTCGACAATCCCCATCCTTTCTGCGACAGGAGTTGATAGCTCTCTTCCTCAACCACATGATGATCCGACGCCGTGGCTCCAGGCCGATTGCCAGGACCTGGATCATTGAACTGACCGACAGCTCGCACTGTCTTTGACACCTCCAGGATCGTACCTCCCTCCACCTTAAACTGCGGCCCACGACCCGACCGGTCCCCAATAGTCTCGCTCACCTGTTCCTGCTGCACAAGCGCCAACATCACCTCCGCCACTTCTTCGGGTGTTACCCACGCATCACTACTATCAACAACCATCTTCATCTTCTCCGGATGCTCAGTCCAGAGCGGGGTTTTGATAACACCCGGGGCCACGGCCGTGACTCGGATCCCAAGCTTCTCGTCGAGTTTGGCGAGCGACCGCACGAAGCCGCTAATGGCATGTTTCGTGGCGCAGTAAATCGGAGCTGCGAGGTTCGCATTCTGGCCTGCAATACTGGAGATATGGACGATATGCTTCGGGCGACCGCTGGTACGGATGTTCAGGAAATGAGCAATTGCCAGTTGTGTCGTGCGGATCGGGTGGGCGACGTTGATATCGATCAAAGCGTATCGGCCGCCAGAGGCCGGGTCCTTGCTTTCGGCTGAGTAAGGCGGGCGCCAGAAGTTGCTCCAATGCTGTATGCATTACAGTTATATAGACTTGTAGATTTGTTGTGGTTATTTTTGTCTTACCGGCTCGTAGACTCCCGCGCCCGGGCAAACAATATCAATCTCGCCGAACTCCTTCTCAGCAACCTCGAACATCCGCTCGAGCTGGACCCAGTCAATCACGTTAGTCTCTTGGAAGACCACCCGTGCGGCCCCGGTCTTGTGCTTATCGGCCAGCGCTTGCGCCTCGGGACGTAAGGCTAGGTCTGCGATTAGGACATTGCAGCCGTTTTCCACTAGCAATTTAGCGAAACTGAAGTTGATACCTGGCTACAATGTAAGCTGTCTGTCCGATAATGTAGTATACAGAAGACATACCGGAGCCAGCTCCAGTTATAATGGCAGATCTTCCTTTCACCGAGAGAGACATGTTTAAGTATTAACGATTAATGGGTTACGGCTTTTAGTAGGGGATTTTGCCCTCTTTTATGTAGGAAATGGACCCTGTGGAACTTGCTCGGGGTCTTTTGGAGCGCATTCCGTGACCACTTTCAAGCCTCGCGGGGTAAAATGCACTTAACCGTCGAGGTGACAGGAAAGTGGGCCGAGTCCGGCGTGATGGCCGATATTCCTGTACATCGTTGGCGCCCAATGGCAGTCTATTTCTCCGTTTTCCTTGGATATGAGGTCGTCTGACATCCGTTCCCCTCTTATTTGCATTATGTTGCTCTATTTATGGAAGTAATTATGTACCTTGTTCGATGTAAAACTAACTATGTGTATGCTACCTAGGTATATGTTGTAGTTCTGTATCAGCAAGTGGGACATTAAAGTAGGGCTCGGCACGCCTGCCTTTGGTTTATTAACTCGAAAACTGTGGAAACTAGATGGATTGCCCTCAAATAATTGCTTGGGGTAATGCTTGTCAAGCAAAGGAACGATCTACAAGATATCTAGACCTTCGGTAGACCTGCTCTGTCCAAGCAGTGAACAGCAGTGCGTGTGGGATTTGACTGATCATATGCTTCAAGTAATATCGTGCAGATTTACTACAAGGCTGTAGCTAGGGTTGTAGTATTGCAGGGAGTATTTCAATTCGTACATACATAGTTACCTCTACCGGTAGTACTTGGGCTTCGTCACAATGCAGATCTTCTATCCCGAGAGCATTCTCGACAAATGCCGGCTTGCCGTATTTCCGGATGATATTCTCGAACGGCTAAATTTTCGAGAAAACTTATCTCCACTATTGCCCTCTTTAGCCTCGTAAATGATTCTTTGCGGACCAGACTGATGTCATGGCGAGCCGTAACTGTCGGGTAGATCTCCCAATTTAGTAATTTATTGGCGCTTTTCTATTCCGACTGCGGCTCGACTACTGTTTATGGGAGAATTCCGCCTCAACTAAGGCATGCTGTGTTCCCCACGAAACACATATAAAGCACCGGTGAAGATCCCCGCAAATTTAGAATACACACCTGTGAATTCATTTCAGCCATGTCGATGTCAAAGTTTATTTCAAAATCCGCTGTCCGAGCAGCCTCTACCTCGGCCCAGACCACCAAGGCCGCTGGTGATATCTCATCAGTTTTCCCCAGTTTGAGGCCTGACTACAAGCCGGAACCTCTCCCCGCACGATTTCAGGAACTCAAGGCGAGAATATTTGAGAAGAACAAAGATGCAATCACAAAAAGTTGGGATCGATTGCTTCCTAGCTTGGATGAGGAAGTGCAAAAGATCAAGGCAACGGGCAGCGATGTATGTGCATATGTGACCAGAATTACCGAGCAAAAGACTGACTTGGAAATACTAGATCATCCCATCAATTGAATACTCTGATGTGATCTCTGGAAAGGTGTCCGAAGCAGCACTAAAAGAGATCCGCCATCGAGGTAGTGTGGTCGTCCGCAATGTGATCCCTCGGGACCAAGCCCTAGAGTATAAGCAACGGATCCGCGACTATGTGGCCGCCAACAAGGAGCGAGTCAAGGCCTTCCCGGTTGACTCCCCAGCCGTCTACGAGCTGTACTGGACCCCATCGCAGGCCGAAGCTCGCGGCCACGAACGCATGCTCAACACCCAGCGCTTCATGCAGCAGCTGTGGCATTCATCCGACCCTAACAGCAAGATCTCAACCACCCACCCGCTGACATATGGAGACCGTCTTCGTATCCGCGATCCAGGGGACTCAAAATTCACCCTCGGTCCGCACATTGACGGCGGTTCCCTCGAGCGCTGGGAAGACCCCGAATACTCTCGAGTCTACACCAAGATTTTAGAAGGGAACTGGGAGAAGTATGACGCGTGGGATGCGCGACACCGTCTAAATGCCAACATGGACTTATATAATGGTGCTGGTGCATGCTCAATGCTGCGGTTCTTCCAGGCTTGGCTATCTATGTCGGACACGAAGCCCGGCGAGGGCTCGCTGCATGTCTGCCCCATGATCAACCACAGCACAGCATACACCATTCTGCGTCCGTTCTTCGACATTGAAAGCTCAAAACCGGCCCTGGATGCTACATTCCCGGGCTCTGTACCTGGCGCTTGCCAGGAGTATAACCCGGTCACGCACCCACACCTCGACCTCCAGTCGACTATGGTTTCAGTACCGCAGGTTGCGCCTGGTGATTTCGTCGCATGGCACTGCGATTCTCTTCACTCTGTGGATAAGGAGCACCGTGGTACCCAGGATTCCAGTGTTATGTACATTCCAGCCACCCCGCTCTGTGATATGAATGTTGAATACCTTATCAAGCAGCGCCAAGCTGCGCAGAGCTATTCGCCTCCGTGGGATTTCCCCGGTGCTGGTGGACCCGGTGAGTCGGGATTCAAGGGTACTATGGATTGGTCCGCCCTGAGCCCAGAAGGTCAGCGTGCTATGGGTTTAGGCAACACTCCTTGGGAGATCACTGATGCCATGAGCGAGGGTGAGAAGGAAGCTGTCCGGTCTGCCAATAAGGCCTGTTTCGGTGTTTAAGATTTGTTTGGGTTGGATGGCATTTTTATGGAGTTTTTATTTGAAAAGTTCTTTCAAAGATGTATCATAATAACCTGTATTTGAAAGCAAATCTCGATTATTACTTTTAACATAACATTATTTGGAAATCACGGCATATTAGGGTTCTTTATCCTCGAATCTGGCCCAGCAAACGGCAATTCACTAGTGCTGCGGCGAGTCGCCACTCGAAAGGCAACCTTGGCAGAAGAGGGGCAGCTTTTGCCTCCTTGCACGGACTCTCCCGGCAGAACTCCTTCTTCTTCCCCCTCTCTACTTACGATATTTCTGTTAAATTCACAAATACCTTATACACCCATCATCATGGATTTCATCAAGAAGGCTGTTTCCAGCGCTGGCGGCAACAAGGAGGACAAGCCTGCCGAGAACAACACCCAGCAGAACGACGACTACGTTGACAAGGGTAAGTGACTTATTGTTCTTACGCAGCCTGAATTTTTGACTGACGAGCCTTTATTACAGCCTTCGCCGCCGGTGTCAAGAAGTCTGGCTACAACCTTGACCGCAGTGCGCAGGAGAAGATCACCGATGGTGCCCGCGAGGCCTACGAGAAGGTCACTGGGTAAGTGACACTCCAAATTCCTTAGGCTTGGATATCTGCTAATATTTGATTCTCAATACAGCAAGCAAGTCAGCGACAAGATCTCCAACTAGCCGAATCATTGGATGGGAGGGATAATAATACTTCGGGGGAATGAGTGCATGAATACCCAGACAGAATCTGCGCATATAGGATAGTCAAGTCATAGCCAAACTTGTCTACGCAATATACATCGATTGATGCGACTTCTGTGTACTTAGTAGTCAGTTCCATCACCGAGCCCATAAAATCATGGAATGGAGGATCATAGGAGATTCGCCACGGTCAATGCGCCCGAGGCTATCGAAGAAGGTGTTTACAAGAGGGGGTAGGCACCTTGGGAAGGTTTCTGACCACGCACACACTCCTTGACTAAGAAGGGATCGGCATTTGTACCATGGACTTGTCAACATCAACCAAAGCTACGGGCGGAGCTAGGAGATAAATGCATCACGTTACCATAGAAATCAATGGCGCAGATCTCGATAGATCTCGCCTAAGTGGGTCCAAAAGGCCAGATCCTCAATTATGATTGGTCCATCTCAGTAAATTAGCGTCTTCCCCCCCCCCCCCCCCCTTTTCCCAAAAAAAAGGAAAATAAGGGCCCCTTCACGGCTTAGATACCTAGGCACTTGCACGTGTCTTTACGGAAGATAAACTTCCTACCTTCTGTCAACTGTTCTCCTACTGAAAAGTCTAGACGTTGGCTGCATAAAAGTACACAAGTACAGAATGTTCTAACAAAATAATGAGGGGTAAAGAACCCTATCTTCTCCTAGGGCTCCGGCTAAGTCCGGCTCCGAAAAGGACTACATAATTCGACCGGCAAATCAGAGTCCTGCATGGCTTTCTCCATGGCGTGATCCCCTGTTCGTAGATTGGATGATATCACAACATCAGGGCCAAATATGGGTCGACTATGGGGTTGATTTGGCATTAGGCGACACAAGCTGAAAAGTGGCTCCCAAGGTTCGAGCAATCACTTGCAAACAAGCACGAAACTAGCGAGCTCGAGAGATGCTAGCTTCTCCGTGCCACGACCATTGGCCCCTGCTCGTCTCGATTGTCCACATGTTGTCATCGAGGGGATTATGGAGGGGAGAGGGGCGATTCTCTTCGATTCCATACGTTCCTGGTGGGAGATAAATAAAGCGCTCGCCTTTTGTTGGGGTAAACATCGTACCCCTATAAATCATTACTATACTTCTTGCTTCCGAGATCAATTCATCTTCTCAATCCATAAATAAACTAAATCCTCCTAAACAACCCCTCCAAAATGTCTTACCGCAACGAGTCCGACAGCTACGGCAGTGGCAACCAGAGCTCCAGCTACGGTGGCAACGACTCCTCTAGCTACGGCAACAACAATGATTCCTCCAGCTACGGCGGCAACAAGTCCAGCTCTGGTCGCAACCAGGACAGCTATGGCAGCAGCAACAATGACTCCTCCAGCTACGGCGGCAACAACGACTCTTCCAGCTATGGCAGCGGAAACAAGTCCAGCTCTGGTCGCGACCAGGACAGCTACGGCAGCAGCAACAATGACTCCTCCAGCTATGGTAGCGGAAACAAGTCTAGCTCTGGCCGCGACCAGGACAGCTATGGCAGCAGCAACTCCAGCTATGGATCCAAGAAGGACAGTTACGGTAGCAACAACGACTCTTCCAGCTACGGCAACAACTCTAGCTCTGGATCCAAGGACACCTACGGTAGCAACAACGACTCTTCCAGCTACGGCAACAACTCTAGCTCTGGATCCAAGAAGGACAGCTACGGTAGCAACAACGACTCTTCCAGCTATGGCAACAACTCTAGCTCTGGATCCAAGAAGGACAGCTACGGTAGCAACAACGACTCCTCCAGCTACGGCAACAACTCTAGCTCTGGATCCAAGGACAGCTACGGTAGCAACAACGACTCCTCCAGCTACGGTAACAACAACGACTCTTCCAGCTACGGCAGCGGAAACAAGTCCAGCTCTGGTCGCAACCAGGATAGCTACGGCAGCAGCAACAATGACTCCTCCAGCTATGGTAACAGCAACGACTCATCTAGCTACGGCAACAAGTCCAGCTCTGGTCGTAACCAGGATAGCTACGGCAGCAGCAACAATGACTCCTCTAGCTACGGCAACAAGTCCAGCTCCGGTCGTGACCAGGATAGCTACGGCGGTAACAACGACTCTTCCAGCGGCAGCATTGGTAGCAAGATCCTGGACAAGGCTCAAGGTTCGTGATTCTTATGTCTACTGGAAGGGTTTTGGAATTATATGCTAACCTAAGTATCACTTTAGATTACCTGAACAAGGACAGTGGTTACTAAACTCGTTCTTCGCTGTCAAATGAGGCAACTAGTGTAATGTGGATTTTGCTTTGATGTGTTACTCGGAAACTAGTACATACTGAGGCACAATATAGTTAACTACAAATTCTCCATTGCGTTATACGGATCAAGAATAATACCAGAATAGTCGGCTGGTTATGCGGCCTTGTCGTATCTTTTAATATGTTCTTAGATGTCCTTTTAGGTGTATAGGCGAGTCCAAAAATAAACGGGATAGATATAAATTGCATCAAAGATAAAAAAAGAAAAGAGATGCTTAAAGAGCGAGGGTGTCATAACGTATTGTGGCGTCTATAATATAGGGGCTAGTAAGAGAGGAGGGAGAGAGTTGATCGCTAATAAGATCGATCTACCCGTGAACTATCTACTTTGGCGAGGGCCTAAGGCCACCGCAACAACTTGTCCTGCGGAGCAGCCGCCAGAAGGTTTTGTATTTTTCTGAACAGCTACCTATGAAGCCCAATATAAGATTCAAGTCGTACAGGTAATAAGATATAGAAGACGGTCAAGACCTTGAGTTTTATACTTGTTTGGTTCGTAGACTCGATAAAATCAGTTCAGTCAGGTACTCCCTCTTCCGCTGTAATAAAATCTAATGAATTCATTTGATAAATCTGGTCTAGCACGATCTGCTACAGTATTATTCCCGAATAGAGCGCCGTATTCTACTACAAGGTCGAGGAGAAGGTGATTATATGCAAATTGTGGTTTGTTGCTTTCGCGGATACCTATTCCAAACCTGGAAGCATGTGAATATAGATTACATTATATACTCTAGATCCTGATTAGTGAGATAAATTTAAATAATTCTGCCGAATTTCATAGAGCTTTCCCCCTACCACTCGCTTGTAGTGCATGTAATAATCTCATCTTCACAAAAACCGTGGTACACGGATAAACGAAACCTTTAGCCCTTGCAATGCCTTGTATGGTGATGCAATAATGATAGCGACACTGAGCTAAGTGACAAACAACAAAAGTTCAATATTTCCCGCAATATCTGGAAAACAACATCAAGAACATCAAGAAGTCGGACCTCAGGACACCCAAGATGGCCTCAATCCTGGTTGACATCTTCCAACGCTCTTGTGTGTCATGCGGACTAGTGATCTCATCAACCCCTTGCTTTTTAAGTGCGCTTGTGAATCTGCTCTTCATTGGAAGTACTTGCTAATTAGTGCTAGTTCATTTGACTGCCTCTGGCGTTCAGCTGACTGACATCTCTGGGTGTACAAAGGGCCACGAATATGAAGGAAGATGGGACGAGGTTGCCAAATTACTTGGTAAATCGCCGCCAAATCCTCCAAACGGATTTTTGATTCATAGGCGTTGTTGGGTGCTTCTCTCGAAACAGTTCAAAAATGGCGAATTGAACCTGGAGAGGTTACTCGAAACCCTAAGAGAAAGCCCCTCGCAATGGCGTAACGATATCCGATCTAGCAACATGCGTGAGTCTATGTGATCGTTCCATTGTATTTCTATAGCAAAAAAGTAAATTTTTCTAACCGTTGGCCTATCGTAGGTTTTGCATCCAACCCACCGAAATTCCATCAATGCTTCCGGAACGCAGGGTTTCGCGCAGCTGCTCAGGCCATGCCAGTCATGGATGGATCATACGTTCTACGTGGAAATTCTGTGAATGCACACCACTTAGAATGGATTCCACTTGAAATAAGATTGGAAATTGCAACTTATCTATCAACAGTTGACTTCCTCAACCTACGACTCTGTTCAAGGGCAATGGCAGATATCTTCGAAGATCAAGCGTTCTGGAAAACAAGGTTTTTTATACGTGGTGATAGAGGTTACCTTGCCTTTCTTACCGAAGGTATTCAGCGTGAAAGAGACTGGCGACTGATTTACCGTTGTACTCACAACCTTTCTAAATTACACCCTGAGCTCCGCACTAGACAACAGCATTGGCGCCACAACATATGGCTGAAAGATGTCAGTATCATGACTAGGGAACAGAATCTTCGATTGCAGACTCAACTTGGCAACATAGAGTCTCTACAATGGCAAAAGGCTACTGGGGAAATAAGGTGCCACAGGGGAACTCGGGGCTTGCTAAATGCCGCTAATCATAAATTGTGTTCAACGTGTTTCACCAAGCATGAAACATTGACTCAATCAGTTCCCTTCTCTAGGGATGTTCTGGGACTCGCTATCTCTGTTCTTTCAGACCCACGCTCAGACTCAGACTCACCACTCACTTATGTCGCCGGCTTGGAGCTTATTTATCCTAGTGATATGCCAAACACTGTTCTTGGCTATCGCCTGCCGGGAAATCGAATAATGATTGATCTTCAAGCAAGGCCACTTAGGGGATTCGAGGTGATGATTGGAGAAGGAGGTGTTCGCGCAATACTCCCGCTTTTCGATACGATAAACAATTGGATTGGCAAGCCCGTTGATGGATTGTATCTCTACGGGTCCGTGCGGATTTCAACGGACAATGAGATACTAGGCCTTTCGGCTGATTTCGATGTAAGTCGTGCTAACCGCCAGCCTGTTCAGCTTTTTGTAAATGTCATTCTAATAGCCTACAGTATTGCAAAATCGTAGGACTAGGAATAGGAACCGACAAATCGCATTCCTAGCTGCCTTCGAATCCTACTAATTAAGGGCTCTCTCTCACTTTAATAAAAGTTGGCTTATGTAGTTGGAGAGCTGACCTTGTGAGGGATCTCAACTCTTATAGGTCACGATCTGGATGTTTTTTTTTCTTTTCGGTTACGTGCTTAGCTTGTATGGAATTTCAATATCTTCCTTTTCCATTGTTACGTTTATATTGTTTTGGCTTTACCAGGTGCTGCGCACCGGTGCTTTCCATGCCCGGGCTCTAAGCAAATCGCTGCTGCCCACACTCCAAGGCTATCATGGGCAGTGCTAACGATAGCCATCTTCGACCTACCTGGAGTAACTAGTCCTATGTACTTGCTACGTATATTTTAAGAGAGTTCTACGTGATGTATGGTGTAATGTGATATCATTGATTGGGTAGTTGAAGAAGCTAAGTTCTAGACTATGAATTTGTTAATTGATTAACTGATTGATTGATTGATTGAATGAATGAATGAATGAATGAATGAATTATTGATTGATTGATTGATGCCATTTACCTAGGTAGATATCCATTGTCTTATTCATGGAAAGAGGGCTCAATGAACATAGTAATGCCATGTCCACAAAATCGGATATCATAGTCCAAATTCCCAATATGATTCTTCGAACGCAGGTTGCTTGATACATAACATTCTCACGACAAGTTATACTCCAATTAAACGTACAACCCTCGTACATCGACCAGATAAACACGCATTGATTCAGTGAGTATCAAACCCTGGAAGATACTCGACCCTTATATGGTGACTTCGATGCTAACGTCAGATCAATAGCCTTGCGTGAGGTTGAGGACATCACACCATGGCAGTAAGTCTCTGAAGCGTTAAGCAGAATGTGCTTAAGACTAACCTGGCTAGTACGCAACAGACCCCGTGATTCGTTCCTATATGGACGATGTCACGCCTCAGTGCAAGGAAGACAAAGTTGATAACATGTGGCTGAATATTGCCCAATTCTACTTCCCTCTGCAGCACGAATTCGGGTGCGAGCGAGAAGCTGGAATAGGTCAGCGTTCGAGAATAAAATCAAACGTGACCGTTAGCTTGGTGCGCAATGATCAGAAAGCGAAAGTCCTGTTCATCGAAAACAAACGACCATCGAAAGCGAAGAACGGGCCACGACGGCCTACGTGGAACCATGCGGAATATCAGTTATAAAATTATATGCTGGAGGAGAGAAAGGTGCAGCCCATATTAACCCAAGGCCTATGGGGAATTATTTGCGTGGGGTACTTGACCAAGTTTTATGTGCTACGTCGTGACAGTCAAATGCTAGAGCCATATAATGATGATGATGATGATGAGGCGTTGAAATGCGATGAACACTGCCAGGAGATCGAAACCATTCTGTCAAATATCCGTCGTGATATTCGTGCTTCTCGCTAGTCATGGGGAATGAGGGACGGGCGTTATCCATAGCTATCACCGCCCGGACTCCGCGAAGTTTATTGACAACATCCATTCTACACCTCCCACCTCCCCTCTTCCATGCTTCAATAAGAGCCATTCGTCAAAATGCGGCTCCAGGCGGCGCTCTCTTTCTCCGCGTGCTTATCGACCGCGGTGGCCATCTACTCTGACGAGGTCAACCATATTGACTTCCACCACGCTCTCCTCGGCACCCCATCCCCCGACTCGACCTTCTTCCTCAAGCCGTCCACATCTTCAAATGCCTCCCTCCTTTACACCCTAACCGACAAACTCCTTGTGGGGGCCGTGAACCCCCGCGACGGCGCGCTGGTATGGCGCCAGAACATCTCGCGGTCGGCGGACTCTCCCGCACATGGGGTGGGTCTCTTGCGCGGATTAGATGGAAATGATGCCGTCGTAGCTACGGTGGGTAACTACATCGCATCTTGGAGTGCCCAAGATGGCAAAGTTGGATGGGAGAATCAGGTCTCACAGGGTGTGGTTGCCGATCTTGAGCTGTTGGAGCTTGTGGATGCTACCGCGACCTCCGGAGTGAGAGATGCCATTGCTGTGGTTGCTAACGAGGGCACCGGAATTGTGAGACGTCTGGATGGAAACACTGGAAAGTCAGTGTGGGAATTCAAGGATACAAGGTTGGTCTCGTCTTTGACCTTATTTTTGACAAGTCGCAAGCTAATGAGTTCTGCTAGTGGCGACCTTCCGTTCCAAGTGTCGTCTTCTTCCACCGAGGTGTTCTATATTTCACTCCAGTCGGCTATGCTGAAGGGCTTCAAGATCAAGGTCACTGTTTTGGACCCATTGACTGGACAGCAGATTCGTCAGCAGATTCTCAACTCCGAGGCTGATGTAGCTACCCCGGAGTCCGTCCTCCATGTGGGCGCCAATTCCGCGTCGCCTATCATCGTCTGGGCCGACAAATCGCAAAAGTCCCTGAAGGTCAATGTTATTGGTACCAAGGAGATCACCTCTATCGCCATTGACAATACACCTGGCTCCGACATTCGACAGATCACAGTCCACGCTCCCCACAAGCTTAACGCTCTGCCCCATTTCTTGGTCCACTTTGCAACCGAGGCCGGGGCCTGGGCCGAGGTTTACCATGTGGACTTGATGTCTGCTAAGGTCACCAAGGCTTACCGGCTGCCCTATCTGCCCGGGCAGTCGGCGGTCGCGGCCAGTGTCATTGACGCTAATGTCTATTTCACTCGAATCACGGACCAGGAAGCCACTGTTGTATCATCCACCTCTCATGGAATTCTGGGACGATGGGATCTGCAGAAGCCTTCTTCTAACATTGCCCTTCACTCGGCATCCGAGGTTGTTACTAAAGGAAAGTCGGTGGCTGTTAGGTCAGCGCTTTTCCGGGAGCACGGAGATTGGCAACTTATTCGAAATGGCCAGATCGAGTGGACTCGGCACGAGGGTCTTATTGATGCCGTCGCAGCTACCTGGGCGGAAACTGATACTCAAGAGGATCTAGCTCATGAGCTGGAGGTCGAGGGCCACGAGACCTTGTACGGCGCGTACCTACACCGGGTGAAGCGTCATGTCCGGGACTTGGAACATCTACCCGACTGGCTGAAAGATCTTCCTAAGCGCATTCTGAGCAGTATCTTGACTGACGAAGTGTCCAACCTGGACAGCTTTGGTGTTGCCAAATCAGTCATCGTCGCCACCAAGAACGGCCGTGTGTACGCCTTGGATACTGGAAACCACGGCGCCGTTTCATGGGGCATCCAGGCAGTTGAGACATCGCAGTGGGATGTGAAGGCTATTCTGGCTTCACCAGGAGTCGCAACCATCTACTCCGACGACGGAAGCTCTGTGACTGTGGATGTGTCGACCGGGGAGATTGTTTCACGCATCGAATCATCTAACAGCAAACTCCACTCGATTGCTGTATTCGGAGTGCAGGATGGAAGTTCGCTGGCCACCGTTGGTGTCCGTGAAGATGGTACTCCAACCACTGCATTTGCCAACGAAGATGGGTTCTTGGTAACCACCAGCGTTGATGGCCGAGTCCTCGGCTGGGTTGCAAAGGATAACAAGACTCCTGTGTGGGAGTTTGTTCCTCCCTCCGGACAGAAGGTCATCGAAGCGACCGCTCGCCCTGCCCACGACCCTGTTGCATCTATCGGCAGAGTCCTCGGAAACCGCTCGGTCCTTTACAAGTACCTCAACCCCAACCTTGCCCTGGTGACTGCAGTGAACGAGCAGACCCATACCGCCAGTTTCTACCTTCTGGACGGAGTATCAGGAAAGGTCCTCCACGCAGTTACCCAAGCGGGCGTGGATTCCAAGCAGCCCATCCCATCCGTGATGTCTGAGAACTGGTTCGCCTACTCATTCTGGGGTGACGTTGACGGCAGTGAGTCCTTCGCCAAGGGCTACCAACTAGTCATCTCGGAGCTCTACGAATCCCCCTTCCCCAACGACCGCGGTGTGCTTGACTCTGCCACCAACTATTCCAGCACCGCCACCCTCCCGTTGCCCCACGTCATCTCCCAGGCCTTCATGATCCCCGAATCCATCTCCCACATGGCCGTAACTCAAACGCGCCAGGGAATTACCACCCGCCAGCTTCTCTGCACTCTCCCCTCCTCCAACTCCATCGTTGGCATTCCTCGCCCCGTCCTTGACCCCCGCCGCCCTGTCGACCGTGACCCCACCACGGCTGAGACCGAAGAAGGCCTGTTCCGCTACGCGCCCTACCTTGACTTCGATGGCAAATGGTACCTCTCGCACACACGCGATGTCGCCGGCATCAAGGCCGTACTATCTCGCCCTACCCTGTTGGAAAGTACCAGTCTTATCTTCGCTTACGGAAGCGATATTTACGGTACCCGAGCCACGCCCAGCCAGGCATTTGATATCCTTGGCAAGAGCTTTTCCAAGCTGCAGCTCGTTCTCACTGTCGTGGCACTTGGAGCGGGTGTCACTGTTTTGGCTCCGATGGTAAGTTTTCTGTTTAATCCTTTTCTGCGGGTACATCTGCTAATTATCTTCTTATCTAGGCTCGGAGGAAGCAGGTTAATGCCCTGTGGAGGGCTTAGGCCTCCTAGGCTCATATACCAGATATTCTATTGTGCTTTAGACTGTAATACATACATACGTTGTTTGTCAAATTTTCCGCTTGTAGCAAACATCTTAAATCCTCCCATACCACTGCGAACATTGGTCGCCACCTTGTACTCCAAGCCAAGTTGATCTGATCAGAAGAAATTGCAGTCTAATATACAGAAAGTCATTGGTCATGGGAAACATTTCATTCATTCATAGACATGGTATCCAAAGGACTCAACGTCATATCAACAGTATAACAAAAGACAAGAACAAACAATATCAACAATCCTCCGCAACTGAACAAGGCTTGATATACACTGACTTTCGAACCCAAAAGAAATCAAACCACCAATAAGGCAATATCAATACAACGGCATAGGCGACGTATTGACATAATCAACATTGTGGTCAACAGACTCAATGCGATCAGTACAAGTCCCAAAAACCCGATCCCAAAGCCTCGTCTGCTTCCCGTAATTATGACTCTTCCTCCAGCCCTTCCGATGATGCAAATCATGATCCTCAATAACAAGCTCTGCCTCAAACCAACGCAAAGCCCAACTCAACGTCGATGGAGGCGAAGCATGAACCCGCAACCCACTGTGCCCTGCCAGTTCCGCAAACACCACATACTGATGACAAACCCACCATTCATAGAACCCCATCGGCATCCCCATAAACCGCATACTGAAATACGTCATAAGCGGAATACCGAGGATATCAAAGAACTCCTGCTCCGTGTCCGCATATAGCGTTAACAACGGGTTCGGGTGTTTAGTGAGGTGGTGGGTGCGGTGGTATTTCCACAACGCGCCGACATCGTGCATCACCCGGTGGTACCAGTAGAACCAGAAGTCGAGGATGATCCCGTATAACCCGGCTTCGAGGGGCAGCCAGACGAAGCTCATGGTTGAGGGCGGGTGTGTTGCGTGGTATGCGATGAAGACGGTGAACATTGGGCGGAAGGTACTTGTCGACATGAGCGAGCGGACGACCTTCGCGACGCCAACGTCTGGGACGCCATCGCGAGCGTGCTTATCGCCATCTAAGAAGCCGTGCTGGTGGCCCAGTCGACGGAGGACATGAAGTTCGTGGATGGCGATGGCTTTGAACGCGATTCCGTATAGGAAGAAGGCGCCCCAGGCGCTGAGGTTGTGGCCGGTGAACTCGACGTAGGCGTGGTGTATTAGGAGGGGGATGGCGGCGTGCGTGAGCACCCAGCGATGCATGGACCAGTCGGGGACGTAGGGCACGGCGTCTTCCTTTAAATGAATGGGAATGTTCTTGTCGAGATGTTCTGGGTGGATGCCGAGTAGTTCGTAGAACCAGTGGAAGAGAGTCCATTCTGAGCGGGCTTGTTGCCGCCAGGTGGACTTCATGGAGTCCTTTTCATTACGATTCATGGCTGATTCGTAGACAGTATAAGAATGTGGAAATGAACACTTCAATCTAACCCCCAGGTACGGGGGTGGATTGGTGGGGTTTAAGTGCTTGTGTTTATTGTCGATCCCTCCCCAGTCGTTCGGGCATTGGCCACGACACTCGGCACATGTGAAGAAAGCCCGCCTCTTTCATGCTCCCCGCAAAAATGAGCCTCGGACGTTTGGTTGGATTGGAACATGGCGTCGATCATATCTCGTCTTGGACTCTTTCCCAACAACATG